GGGGGTTGTTACTTGGGAGGCTCAAGGGAAGGCTAGAACAGAAATTATGAAAGACAGTTGGGGTATGAAGCAAGGAGTGGCAGGAAATGCCCAATAGGAGGTAAGGGGCTGCTGACCAAAGTAAGGGCTTCAGTTGTAACATAATCACCACAGTAACGTTATCAAAATCTAAACCACCACCCTCAGTGTCTGCAGCACCCAATTAAAATTGTGTAACAATTAGGAAACAGTCTGGGAGTGCCGGGGGACATGTGGGAGAAGGGAAATGGGGTGGGGTAGAAATCCCTGCTGCACCTGCAAATGCTGCCCCAAGGAGTCTGGCTGTGCTAAGGACCTCTGGGTGCTTGGAGGAGTGCAAAGGCTGGTTGCCAAAGACAAAGACAGCTGCTAACACTCAGAGATCAGAGCGAGCCTCCAATAATCCCCTTCTGCCTGTGCAGAGAGATGTTCCTTTTGCAATGGTACTCTGGTCTTTCTTTATCCTCTTACCTTCCCCTTTCCCAACGGCACCTTATAGGCGAGGGAGGTGGAGGAAGGGACCACAGCTCAATGGGTTCTTCCCCAGAGTCCTACTGCTGATGTTCAGACACCACTGGGGTCCTGGGAGGAGCATAGGGGAGAGGGGGGATCTACAGTCATTTTCTGAAGCCTTCTCAGCATGTGCTGTCAGAAGACTGGAAAGCGAGACCTTTGGGGCTTACCAGGCTTGTTTCATGAGGACCCAACCCTCACCTGGAGGGAGATAGGGTCCTTTCAACAAGTGGCCTGGCTGAGAGAGAAAGGCCCCTGGGGTGCTGTGATTTTGCACCATGAGCACCATACTCAGGTCCCTGAAGATACAAACAGTTTTCATTTGACTGCTAACTGAAAGGTTAGAGGTTTGAAGCCAAGCAGCGGTGCTGTGAAGGCAGGCCTGCCAACCTGCTTCCACAAGAGCAAAGCCACGCAGACCCTACGGGGCTCACTTCTGCTCTGGAACGCGTGAGTCAGAACTGACCCGATAGCAAGACTCGAGTATCTTACATCCTGTCCTTTGCTCTACCACAGCTGCCAGGGTGCAAAACCTCACCACCCTTCCCTCCCCCCAATCCAGGTGAAGAGTGGGCCTTCCGTGCTTTAAGGGCCTAATAGCTTAGGAGACTCTCGGATTCCATAGTCCAGTTGAATATGGGGCTGCTAATTGAAAAGTTGGCTGTTCAGGCCTACCATTTGTTCTTAGGGAGAAAGAAAGATGAGGCTGTCTGCCTCAGTAGAGACGGACAGCCTTGGACACTCTCTGGGGAAGCTCTTTTCTGTCCTACAGCATCACTGTGAGTTGGAATGGAGTTTTTCCTCTCACACCGAACGACCACAGTCGCTCCCGGATCACTGAACTGCTCCCTTCTTCCTTCCATAGTACTGCCCTCTCTCATGGCCTTGCTGGACGTGGGGGGGGTGGGGGGGAACCCTGCTGTCCCCAGGGCAACACAGCCCTTTACCAGTCCAGGCCAGCACCTTTAGGAAAATTCACATCTGAACAGGCCACTCATTAACCTGTGATCATCCTCACTGCACCCAGAGTAGGAACCAAGGTCTTCTGCCGACCCCAGAGCCTTCCCCTCCTGTGCCCCACGCCTGCTTCCAGCCTCTTCCTTCATGCCGGACTTTCATTTGTCTGGAGGCTCTTTGCCTCACTTGGTTTTGGCACTCCTAACCACCCTTCAAAACCCAGTCCGATCCCTTAACAGATGCCCTGTGCCCATGTCCAGCTGGAGAACAGTCTTCCAGAGGTCCAGAGCAAGCAGGGTCCACCTCGATCAGATCAGCTCCCAGGGTGAGTTTACCTGCCTATCTTGTCTCCACCGTGAGTCCCTGAAGAGACCAAGTCTTAGCCATGTTTTTATCCACACCACAAGGCAAGGTGCCCCCCCTCAGGCAAGGCATGAACCCAGGAGACATAGGTAACATTGAATAATAGATTCAAGTGGCTTCATAAGACAAGGCCTGGAATTGTGTGTCTTTCATATGATCTCCATCTGAAAGGATAAATGGCTGTACTTAAAGGGTTCCTTCTGCCATCTACACAGTTGTCATAACAGAAAAGCTGTGATCACAGGACAAACACTAAAAAGGGTAAGTGGACACAAGTGCTTTTACAACCTGTTTTGGTGTTCTGAAAGGAGTCCAGGTGGTAGGTAGAGTTGGTTATGTGCTGACCTCTGAAGCCATAGAAACAGCTCTACTTACTCTATCCAATGTCAGAACACTATGAAGTCAAAATCAACTCGCGGACAGTGGGTTGTGGGGTGGGTTAAGGGCTAGGATGCTAACAAAAGGGTCAGTGGTTCAAACTCTCCAGTCTCGCTGCAGGAGAAATGTGAAGCTATCTGCTCTGTAAAGATGACTCTCAGAAACCCTAAAAAGCAGTTCTACTCTGTCCTTTGAAGTCAGAAGCGACTTGATGGCAGTGTGCTGGTTGGACCAAGGTACTTCCAACCAGAAGCCATCTAAAGGCACACTTAGTTGTTGTATCCACTGAGGCTGGCTCAGAGGGCAAGGCGAATTAGGAGCAGGGCTACGTGCCCAAGGTCACTGAAGCCTGCTGGACCGTCCCAGCAGGTGTGGTCAGCAGGAGAGAGCAAGGCCCACCTGGAGGTGAGTTTGCAGATCCAGGGGGTGAATTTTACGACTGTTATGAAAACCCTTTAGATTTCCAGATTGCATCTGCAACCCAGGAAGGTCACCCCTTAACCCTACTGCAAACCACTGTGTCTACTTACAGCAATCTGCTTCCTTTCACAACATTTATGGGAGCCCCAGCCCACTCCCTGCCCTGACAAACGTTACTGGAGGGCCTGAGAAGATTAAAGGAGAAGCAACCGTCAGGAAAATGAGAGCTTGAGCAGGCTCACACTACTACTGGCTAGAAATAGAGAGACAGAAAATCTTTGAAAAACTTCTTGATTTGATTGTCTGTTGGCTTCTCTCTGGTTGTAGTCCTCTAAATGAAAAGAACTTGCAAGCCCCACAAGGTCACCAAACAGATGTTTACAGGTGCCACCTGTGTGCCACCGACAGAAGAAAAGGAAAGGCAGTGCTAATAACCCAATATGCACCAATTCTGCCAGGACTCATCCTGCAAACTGCCCAGACATTCAAGGGATTCAGGGCAGTATGCTGAGTGCTCCCATGGGTCCTGGAGTGGCTAGGATATGCAGAAACAGGCACCACCACGAACCCAGCAATCAAGCTGTATAGCTCGGCGCCACCCAGACAACCTTTGCCCTTGACTGCCAGCTCGGAAATTCCAATCCCTGAGGCCCAAAGCACAGACTGCTTTCTGCACTGCACCCCTGGCCCAGAAGATCGTGACAAGGCTTGGCTAAGCTGTCAGCACCTCCAGCTGTCTTACTCAAGGATGCCAAGCCGCCATCTCCCAGCGGACAGGGCTCAGGGTCGGGGTGGCCACCCCAGGCGGCAGGTGTGTGTCCTCCTGGGGCAGGTCTTTGCAGCAAGAGGCGAGGGAAGGGCGGCTGGAATTGGGACCCAATGCAGAGAAGGGTTTCCTACCCGGAGGAGACGGAAAATGCACGCAGGAAAGGGTGACACACGCGAGCTCCAAGTCCCGCCGGCCAGGGGGTCGCACCCGAGTCGCCTTCGCCGGGGCCGGAGACGCGCACAGTCAGTCGGGGGCGCGCAGCTTGGGGGGGGCCCCCACCGCAGTGACCGGAGTCCCCGCACATCTGGCCTCGCAGCCCGGCCCCACACGCCCTCCTTGCCAGCGGCGCACTCGCGGTGACAGTCCGGCGCCCCCAGCCCGCCCTCTCCGCCCGCACCGCTGCGAACCCACCTCGGCCGCCACGCCGCCTCTTCTCAGTTCACTCAGCGACCGCGCCGCCGGGTCTGTGCGCAGGCGTGCCGCCGACCCCGCCCCCTGAGCACGCGCGCCGCCGACCCCGCCCTTTGAGCACGCGCCGCCGGCTGCCCACCCCGAGAGCCCGCGGGTCGCTGCAGAGCCGTCTCTGGGCATGCGCGCCGACGCCCGGCACTGGCCGCTGGGGAGCATGCGCTGGCTCAGCACCGCGGCCCGGGTTAAATGGCTGGGACTAGCGCGCTGGTCCTCCGGCGCGAGTGAAGTGAGGGGAGAGTGGTCTGCGTGGTCCTGTTGAGGCCAGGACCCGGGGCATCGGGAGCGGGGACGTGATGACCATTGTCCGCTGAATCGCACGCACGCGTGGGCGCGACGTCTGGTCCCAAGCGGACCGAGAGGGGACTCAGGGGGTCCTGAGTGGAGGGGGCGGGAGGGAACCGGATGGGCCCTGAGGACTGGGTCCCAAGCAGCCGGACGAGACAGGGTCCCAGCAGGCAGAGACCCAGCTGGGGACAGGGACGCGGACATCTCACGGCAGAGACGGTGGCAGGCAGACAGGTGACAGGCTGGGAGGACCAAGCCAGGACGGACGTGGCGCCAGACACCAAGGTGGCAATGCTTCTGGGGAGGTGGCACGGCGCCCTCTGCGGGTCCTGGCGGGGGAGGGCCCCCGGGCCCCAGAGGGGGTCCACAGGCGTCTAAGGTGTTCACAGTGCCTTTTGGGACGGTCAGGGCGCTCTCTAGAGGACTACAGAACTCTGGGGGGCACAGCGGCCCTTGGGGATTTTGCAGAGTCCTGTTAGGATCCATTTCTACGAGGGGTTCACAGCCTTCTGGGAGTTACGGTGCCTTTTGGAGAGGGCAGATAGCGTCGGGGATAACAGAGTCCTTGGGGATGACAGCCGCCCAAGGGAGCGTCTAAGCAGGTCTTGGGGGCGGTAACTCCCCTGTGTCAGGGCGGGGTGTCGCCGCGTCTGTCCTCACACCCCTCCCCGCACAGGCGCCAAGGGAGGCGCCCAGTGGGACCGGCACGGGGGCGGGGGCGGGGTCCCTAGATGAACGCGCGCGACTTGATACATAAGACTCCTAGGAGGGCAGGCGGATGCGCTGGATGACCGTGCACGGTGATGGGGAGCCGCGTCTCGCGGGTTCAGGCCGCTCCGCAGCGCCCTCGCCGCTCGCGTCGCTGCAGTCTCCGCAGGCGCCGCGTCCATGTATCCCTCCAGGGCAGCACGAGGCTCCCGCGGGCAGCGCTGAGCCCCGGGCCCCGGCCCCCAGCGCCCCCGGCCGCGGCCCCGGGTCCGCCTCCCAGCAGCAGGTAGCGGCGGCCGGGTAGAAGGCGTGGGCAGCCGCAGGCCGCGTCCTGCGCAGGCACCCACAGCGCGCTGCTTCCGCGCCGCGAGCGCTCCTCCCCGCTCCGGAACACTGCAAGCACTGCCACCGGGAAGCGCGTCCACGCGCCGCGTGCCTCGCCGCGCGCGCTCACCACTAACTGCACCGCTGCGGGGAGGGGGAGATAGGCTGGATCAGGTGGGTGGGTGGGGCCTCGTGGAGGCGCACCGGGGGAGCTCAAGTAGAATGGGGCACAGATTGGACAACCCCTGGAGGGAGCCTCAGGGGCAGGGGGTAGGCAGGGACAGTGGGAGCCCTTGGGATGGGGATAGCTCCTCATGGGTCAGGATATTCAAAAGGTAGTGGGAGGCAGGATGGGGGCTGATGGCCCCGGGTGGCCTACCATAGTCCTTCCGGCAAAACTTCTTCAAGCTGATACGGTAGTTGCCCCGGGCTGGTTTGCAGTGGGCATTGCAGTCTGGGAAAGGGTGGAAGGCTAGCACAGCTCCCCACTGCCTCCCACCGGCACCCTCTGGGTACCCTCTGCTCCTCCCTTCAAATAAGCCCCTCTCCCAGAGCCCCCAGTCTGGGTCCACTCACCCCGGGGCTCCACAGGACTGCTCTCTTCAGTGGGCCCGGGAACAGGGGTCTCTGGACAAGGGGAAAGAAGGCCTAGAATGAGGCAGGAATAGGGGGTCTGCAGGGCTCAGGGGGAGGGGCAGCAGAGTGTGTATGGGTGAGTCAGGCTGCGGGTCACTCACTGACACAGGGTGCCACAGGAGATCGGCTCTGCTGGAAGCCCAGGGCGCATCGGTTGCAGGTGAGACCTGTTACACCATCCTTGCACGGACACTGGCCTGTGGTCTGGTTGCAGGTTTTGCCTGCAGCCCCAACTGGATGACAGTCACAGGCTAAGGGCAGAGGTGGGAGGATGGGTCCCGTCAGTCCTGGACTGGGCAGACAGTCCCAGTTGGGGGCTGGGGATCAAGAGGGACAGGGACCTCACCCCTGCAAGCACGTCGGTCACTCAGGGCTTGGCCAGGGTCCCGGTAGAAGCCCTCCCTGCAGTAATGGCAGTGGCGGCCTGCAGTGTTGTGTCGGCAGTTGAGGCAGACGCCCCCACTTCGACGGCCTGACAGGCGGTACAACTCCATATTGAAGCGGCAGCGGCGGGCGTGGCCATTGCAGGAACAGGCTGCAGAAAGGAGTGATGTCAGGGGAGGCCCACCAGGTCCCAGCTCCCCAGACCACCCTCCAGGGCCTCACCGAGGCAGGCATGGGCGTCCCTGGTAGTAGCCCTCTGCCATGGCCTGTCGCAGTAAAAGGGCTTGCAGCGGCTGCAGTCTGGACCCTCGGTGCCGTGGCGGCAGTCACAGACCAGGTGGCCCTGGGCGTCCAGCAGGCACTGCGAGGCGTGACCATTACACTTGCAACGCCCGCCCACCTGCAGCTCTGTAGCTGAGTAGGTATAAGGGGCCACTGCTTCCGTGTCCCGGGCGTCCCCCAGCAGCATGGTGGGTCTGGTGAGCACCACTCGGATGTCTGTGGCGGTCACCCAGTCCTGGAGCACAGGGCTGTTGTCCAAGTCTAGGCCTGGCGGGCTGCCGTCCTGCACACTGAAGGCCAGGAGGCCGCTGCCATCGGGCTGGGCCTGGGGCGGCGGGAAGCACAAGGCCTCAGGTCCGGGGCCGGCGGGGCCAGTGGAAGGTCTGGGTAGGCGGCCGTAGTCCAGGGCGCAGCGCGAAGAGAAGAAGCCGAGTGGCGCCCAGCTGCGGCCGTGGTCCTGTGACTTGAGCAGGGCCACCGAGGCTGGGGGCTGCGAGCAGAAGCGCAGGCTCACGAAGACTAGCTCAAAAGCCTTGCCCAGGGGTACCGTGAGGGTCACGTTGAGGGGCGCGCGCACCAGCGAATCAGAGCGCCAGCACAGGGGTCCCGCCGTGCCCCCTGCCGCGGTCAGGAGGGCGGCTGGGTGTGCCCTGCGCGGGTCCGAGGCGTCGCAGGCCCGCGTGGCCGGCCGCCCGCACGTGCTGGATGCCAGCACGTCTCGGCCCAGGGCGGCGTTCACCAAACCAGGCACGCAGCCGCGGGGGGCTCCACCCTCGTCATGGCAGGGGTCGCCTGGAGCCGGCGGCCCGGCGCTCAAGGCCAAGAGCATGCCGGCGATCAACAGCAGCCCCCAAGGCCAGCTGGGCATGGCCGGAGCCGCACGGGTCAGCTGGCTGCCCGGGGGTGGCGCGCCCTCGAGGACAGGCTCTGCGGACCGCCAGCGATGCCTAATAGCCTCGCCCCGCTGGCCCGGCTCGGCCCTGCCCTGCCCTTCCCAGAGCTGGGAGCAGTCGCGGGCACGCCCCGGGCGGTGCAGCGGCGGGCCGTTCGCGCGCCTTCCCGCTGGGCCCGCCGCGATGACAGGCGTCGCCCGCGCCCCCGCCCGCGGATGCCTCCCCCCTCGCCCGCCGCCTGCCGCTCGCACTCACCGCCGAGGGCCGGGCTGAGCAGGTCTCCGGCCTCCCGGGAAGGGCCGAGGCGGGCGGGGCCTGGGCGCCCAGCCGCCGCCTCCTTCGGCTACAGCAAGGGCGGGCGCGCAGTGCCAGGAGGGTGGGGGGCGCAGCCAGCGCGAGCCCGGGCCCAGCCGGGGGCGGGGCCGCGGGGCCCGGAGGGAGGAGGAGGGGAGGGGGCCTCGGCGGCGGAGCAGGAATCAGAAGCCGATTCAGACACTGGCTGGGCCGGCGTGGAGGGGGCTGGGAGGCCCGGGAGCCGGGGGCGGGGCGGGGGAGCCAGGAATGCGCGGGCGGGAGGGGGCTGAAGTGATGGCTGGTGGGGGACCACCCAGCAGGGTCCCGGGCCTCGAGCCAGGCCTTGACTGCTCCTGGGGCCTTGCCACGTGCTGGGCGGGGGTCTGGGCGGCCTCCTCCTTCAGACCCATGGGGCAGCCAGCAACGGGAGGTCCTGACTGCTTCCCACCCACCCACTCAGGGCACACTCAGGGCAGAGGGGCCCACACAGGGCTGGAGGGCTGATGGTGTCTCCCAGCCATTGTAGTAGAAGGAAGCTAGTCTGCAGTCAGAACTGATTTTGGATCTAAACCCCCAAACCAATCTCACTGTATCCCACCATTAGTACCGAGTAGAACTGTCTCAGAGGGTTTCCAAGGCTGTAAATCTTTACACAGAAGCAGATGGCCACATCTTTCTCCCTCAGAGCAGCTGGTGGATACCAACCACAGACCTTTCCATTAGTGGAGGGCTTTAACCCCTGTGCCACCAAGGCAATTTGCTTTCTGGATCCAAGTCAGCCCATTTTCCCCTGAACACCTGAACTACAAACTAAACTTTTAGATTGGAATTAATAAACACGACATGCTTTGCAGAGCTAGGGGGAGGATTTGATGAGACCAAGTAGGTATGAGACCTAGCCAGGTGGCCATAGGACCATGGGCTCAGGAAGGATTTCACCTGGGCTGGCCTGAGCTCACCTGAGCTGTGACAAGAGACCATCCATCTGGGGTCAAGCCAGACTTGTCCCAAAGTGTTCCTGATTCCATCCCTTCCTGGAGGTATAGACAGTAGTGTTTGATCAATGGGGAGGGTCTCCACCACAAATGGCTCAGTGTCAGAACCTTAGAGCTGGATCCATATCTCAGCAGTTTTGGGCAGGGAAACAGACAAAAGCCCCCAGCTGGCAGGAATCAAGGTGCCTGTGGCCCCAGTTAAGAGGGGGCAGGGGTGTCTTTGGGCAGAAACCTCTCCCTCATCATCTTTAGGTGTTTCATGGAGTGCGGGGAGCTTCCCAATGAAGGCTGGGGTCGGTGCATGGATCCCGGTCAGGGGCAGCCTGAGACTTAAGCTCCAGTGGCTGCAGTCTGGGATGGAAGGCTAACCCCAGACCAGGCCTTGTGACTGGCTGACATGAGGGAACTCTACTAGCAAGAATGTAGTCTGTGTGCAGCAGAGCTGGGCCCGTGGCCCTGGGAAGACCTTTAAGGACCAAGGAGAAGAGGATGGAAGAGGGACAGAAACATTGTGCAACTAGGGAGGGGGTGAAGGGTCTGGGGAGGACAGTGAGTGGCCTCTGGCTGGAGCTCCTCTGGACAGCTCCTCCCCAGTCCGGCAGTCACAGGTTCAGAGCACAGGTGGAGGAGCAGATGGTGCAGAGATAGCTGGGAGCATGGAAGCGCTACTGTCCTCCTCCTCCCCATTAGGCTGTGCAGGAAGGCTCGGCCTCCCATCTCTGTCTCCACAAAGCAGGCATCTTGGAGCCCTGTCCTCTGTCTTCCTAACAAACAGAATTTGCCTCTTCTTCTTAGCAGCCTTAGAAGGCTGAGCATCACCAGCAGACCCAGCTCAGCTATGAATGGGCGGAGCTCAGAACCAGCCCCTCCTGCTACCCTCTTCAAGGCCCCACTGGCCCAATACGTGGCCTGGGATGGGAGGAGCCCTGGGGAACAGAGGAGGCTCCCATTGTTTGGGGGCCTTTAGAAACAGGAGACCAGCTGGCTACAGTGATGAGGTTTGCCCAGGGGAATGGATCCTGGCTTTCTGCAGACCCCCAGGATCCCATCAGAATGGAGAGGGGAAGAGAGGAGGCGCCTGGGCCATCTGTGAGATGGGTTTTGTCTCCAGCCAACCTCCCCAGGAGTTTGGGCTGCGGTCTGTAGAACTCTGCTGGTCTCTGCCTAGGGACGCAGGTGTCTGGGCACAAAGGTAGGGGGCAGCTCCCACCGCCCCCTCCTTGCTCCTCCCAATGAGGCTAGCCTGACAGTCACCCACCCTTCTGTGTGGACAAGGTCGGGGTTATCCCTGGGACTCTGGGCCGTTGTGGCCTTCCACAGCCCCTAGGCTGAAGGGTGCTGGGCCCTGTCGGAGCCCCAGAGGGGAAGCTCACAGTTCCCACCTTCTGCTGGCTCAGTTCCAGGCACCTTCAGACACAAAGGGGCTCCGCCTCCTCTTCCCCCACCTGCAAAGTTCAGGCTGATGAAGACCCCCCCAGGCCTCCCGGGGAGCTGGACCTTTCCTTGTAAGGCAGCCCGATCCCACGCTGGGCCCGGTCAGGGTCCACTATTCCCTGTGCAAGCGGCGTGCACGTCACCACTTGCACACGTGCTGCACAAGCATTTATTGAACGCCAGTTTATCCCTCGGTGACACAAGCTCAGAAGCCCGAGAGGGCCCCGGTGACTGGCCAGGCTGAGTTCTCCCGCCCGTCCCGCGCCTAGGTGGTGCGGACTCCCAGCGCCTCGGGAAATGAACCGAAGAATGTCGAAGGCTAGAGGGTCGAGTAGGGAACACGGCCTGCAGGCCGCTGGTCGTGACCTTGGCGGGGAGGGACTCAGGGCGTGCCCGGCTCCGGGCGCCCCCCCTGCACCGCCCCCTGCCCGCGTCGTCGAGCGTGCCAGCAATAGGCGGCGGCGGCCAGGAGCCCGAGGCCCGCACCGAGCGCCGCCAGCGACGCGCCCTGAGCCAGGTCCAGGCGGGGTCCGCGTAGCGAGAAGGTGATGGCCGTTGCGGCGGCGCCGGCCAGCAAGGCCACGGCGCCGAAAGGCAGGACGCAGCGCGGCCACGAGCCCCCCACACCGCCGGTGGCCAAGAGCAGCGCACGCAGGGCCCCGGGGAACGCGGGGACCGGCGGGGCGAGCTCAGGGGGCGCGGCTGGCGCGGGATCCGGGGCGTTCATGCCGCCGATGGCGGGGCGGTGCTCAGGGGTGGATGGGTGGGAGAGGGAGCCCGTGCAGCCCCCTCTCCCCTCCTCCCCCGCCGTGTCACAGCGGATTGGCCCGGGACGCGGTGACGCCACCGAGGACGCCGGGAATCAGGGTGGGCGGGAATAACCCGGAGGGGTCTCCCTTTTCCTGTTCTGTGAGCCTGATGTTACAGGCTACTCAGACTCTCCAGTGTCACCCACGCACCTTCCTGTCCTGCTCACAAGGCCCCCATTGGAGGATCAGTCAGTGGGAAAATTCAGGGAGCACACATGGGACTAACAGGGTGCAGGCGGAGTCCACCCTGGGAACCCATCCATTCTTTCACTGCGGGGCTTAAGGGGTTGTTGTTAAGTGCCTTTGAGTTGGTTACGACCCATAGCCACCCTGTATAGGGTTTTCGAGGAGCGGCTGGTGAGCTTGAACCGCTGATCTTACGGTTCAAAGGGACTTTGCAGTGCCAGCCCACTCAAGAGGGCGGAGGTGGCCAATGCCAAGTGTGGCGCCTAAGGCCCCTCCTCCCGTCTTCATCCAGAAGGGCGGCAGTGTTCCAAAGATACGGAAGAGGACTGGGGCGTTCAGCTCCAGACCCCACTATCAGGTGAGCCACATGCACTGTGCACACAGGTGATGTCTATGTAGTGGGCAGCGGCAGGCCGAGAACATTCCGATCTTGAGAGAATGACCACAATGGACTGATGGTGCCGGCAGACTTGCCCCATACAGATGACCACAACCCTTCCATTTGTAAAACACACGACCTGGGAAGTGCAGCTGAACCAAGTGTGCCCTATGCTTTCTAAAGGAGTTTAATGTAATTCACAGCAGAGAGCAGACAGGGGGGAGGGGGGGCGGATCCTGTAGACCTCCCACCCCCTGAGAACACAGCAGGAAAGGGAGCAGCCAGTTTCATGTTAAGCAGGCTCCAGGGGCCTACAGAAGGGCCAGTAGCGGGGACATCTCCTAGACCCACTCAGATTCCACCCTTAATTCCTAATCCTGAGGACAGGCTTGCTGAAGTCAGTCTGCAGGCTGGTCCCTCAGCACAGCGGGGAAGCGTTGGCTCCCTTCACAGAGAAGGCTGTATGCGGCTCGGCACAGGGCAAGGTGGTATGGTCCAGGTACACTCGCCAGAGGGAGGAGCTCAGCTATCAGGACCTGGGAGGGGCAGTGGGGGTGGAGGGGGCTCGGCTCAGGAGGGTGTATCCCAGAGCCCCACCTGGGCCCAGCATCTGGTCTGCTAGATGCTGGCTGGTTACTCCAGCTCACGGATGCAGCCAGAGGAGTGTGCCCCCCGCTCCCCGGGCCCCAGTTCTGTACTCACTTTCTGCAGGTGGAGCTGCTGGCGCAGCATGGCTATGCGCAGTCGGAGGGCTGTCAGTGCCTGCAGCTCCTGGGTGCTGGAGTAAAGAAGGGGCTGGGGGCTCTTGGGGGCCCCCTCACCTCCACAGGGGAGTGAGGCCTTACGGGGCATCCCAGAGGGACGAGACTCCAGCTGTTCTTCTGCCACCACTGGGAAGACATGGGATGTACTTTTAGGGTTTAGAGCAACTCCTAGGCCCAAAGCCCGGCTTCTTGTGGGGGCCACCACCAACCTCTTCAGCCCTGGGTGCCCCATGAGCACAGGGGATAGGGCGGGGAAACCCTGTATACAAGGGCTTTCAAAATTCGTGGGAAAAAACTCTATTCACTTTAAATTAAGAAAAAGTCACACACAGCTTTTCATGCCATTGACTGCAATACCCATAATACACCATCTTTCCCATTAAAAAAACTGTTCCCTTCTCCTGTAACCATCATAGATTGTTTCTCTCATCAAGAAAATGTTTGCTTAAGTTTTTACAAAATGGGTCTCATACAGTATGTGTCCTTTTGTGATTGACTAACATCCTCCAGGTTCATCCACTTTGTGAGATATTTCACGGGCTTGTCTTTATTCCTCAACATTTTGTAGTATTCCATTGTATTCGTGTACCAATGTTTAACCATCCTTCTGTTGGTGAGATTTAGGCTGTCTCCACAGTTATACTGTGAATTGAGTGAAGAGTTACAGATCATCAGTTTTGCTTCATTACATGGTTGCAATCCCCTCCACGTGCCAACAGTTAACAGCATTATACCGCTATTGACTTTAATTATTGTATTCCTGTCTATTACCTTCATCTTTCCTCTGCTGACCTCCCTCTTGTTGTATACTGCCTGCCGTCACACGTGTTACATGTGTCTACCCTCTAGCCCCTGAATAATTTTCCTTCCTGTGCCCCTGTAAACCATAAGAGATTATCAAAACCTTTATTTGTGACTTTTTACAAGATTGTTCTCATACAATATTTGTCCTTTTGTGATTGACTAACTCACTCAACATAATGTCCTCCAGGTTCAACCATGTTGTGAGGTGCTTCACAGATTCATCTTTATTCTCCATGTTTTGTAGCATTCCGTTGTGTGCATATATCAAAGTTTGTTTAACCATTCTTCTGTTGATGGGAATTTAGGCTAGGTGTTTTCCATCTTTTTGATGTGTCTCTTATAGACAGCATACTGAACACTGTTTTCTTATCCATTCTGCTTTTTTTTTCATCATTCAACAATATTTGCTTTTATTCCCTGTTATTTATTCTGGATGTACGCAAAAACACTCAGGAATATGTAATCATTTTAAACAACCAAAGGGCACATTCTGCAAGCCTGCCTCCTGGCAGCCAGCACACAGCCTTTCTCTTTCCATGAGTCTAGAGTCCTCAGCTGTCTGCTCTGTCTCTTGACTGGTGCATTTAATACACTCACATTCAGTGTAATTATCGATAGTTCTGAATTGTTGTTGTTGGGTGCCGTCGAGTCGATTCCGACCCATGTTGTTATTGTTAAGTGCCACTCAATCGATTCCGACCCATAGCGACCCTGTACAGGGTTTCTGAGGAGCAGCTGGTAAGCTTGAACCATCGACTTTGCAGTTCAAACAGCTTTGCAGTCTGGTGCATTAACCCACAGTGCCACCCCAGGACTTCCAGGTCTGAATTGATTGCTTACCTTGTAATTAATTTTTCCCTTACTTAAAACAGTCTATCTTGATATCCATCCGACTTTGCCATTTGGAAGTTCTGTATCTACACGCTTCCCTTTATGCTTTGTAGTTGTTTGATATACACTGTAATCTGCTTCCCTGTTTTCAGTCTTGTATGCTTGTTTGCATTCAACACTTCGCTATCTGGATTGAGTTCTGGGTGGTGTCATCATATAGGATCATCTCTGGCTGTTGTTGGCTCTCGATCCAAAGAACACCCTTTAGCAATTTCTGTAAAGTTGGTGTGGTCATTAAAAAGTCCTTTAATTTCTATTATTCTGGAAATGTTATAATTTTGCAGTCCTATTTGAGGGACAGCTTTGCTGGGTATATGATTCTTGGTTGGTAATTTTTTTTCTTTCAGAGTTTTGTAGGTCATCCCATTGCCTTCTTGCCTCCATGCTTTCTGTTGAGAAACCAGAGCTTAGTCTTACTGGTTCTCGTTGGTAGCTCCCTTTTTGTTTTTCCTGATCTGCTTTTAGGATTTTTTCCTTTCACTTTTCTTCTTCAGAAATGTTGTGGCTCTGCATCTTGGTCATTTGTTTGAGCCATTCTCTTGTTTTTGTGTGAGCTAAATTGTCTGCTGTCTGTGGGGCATTGTGAGATGGTCATTTATAACTAACTGTATGTTGATGTGTTCTTAGATCCTCCCCAGCTGTCTTCTGTGGGTGTAGAGAATACACGCATGTACAGTTTGTTGTTCACGTTTGTGTGCCTCAGCTCAGGGTGAGTCTTGACGGGTGTGTGGTGGTTGCGGTCTATCGTATTTCAGGTGGTATAGGAGCTGTCTTGCTTCTTGTCCAGTGGGTAAAACTATAGAGGGTATGGTTGTCGCTAGGCTGTATGGGTAAGCTTGCTGTCTCTTGCTGGGTGAGAAAGAGTAAACACCTCCCCTGCCTTACACAAGAAAACAAAATAGAATAAACAAATGAGGAACAATGAAAAGAGAAAATAATTAAGAAGAAAAACAGGTAGCAACCAGAAAAAAATAAAATAAGAATCATAAAGATAGAAGAGGGACAGGGCAATGGAGTTATAAAAGAGAAAAACAAGAGAGAAAATAAAAGGAGTAACTAAAAAAACAAAACAAAACAAAACAAAAAAACATTTAGAAAAACCAGGGAGAAGGGAGATGAAATGAGTACTAAAGAAAAGATCAAATGGGTGAAAAAAAAAAAAGAAGACGGGAAAATGAATAAGGAAAAAGATAAACAAAAGCAGAGATAGGATAAAATTCAAGGGAATGGAAAGAGGAGAAAGGATAAACAAATAAAAACAATGAACCAAAATAAAGGCCGTGTTCCCAAGGTGGGTATAAAAGAGGGCTATGACAGAATTCTTGGTCTTCAATGGCGTGCTCTTTGGCCTTGGTATTACTGATGCTCAATGCACAGAGGTCATTCCTGGAGGATTGTGCTTCAGTGTGTAAGAACCACAAGGCATCTGGGGGGCAGGATGCCTATTTAAATACTGGCCTGGTGGCTCTGGGGGTTGTGTAGGTCTGTAGCCAAACTCACCGGAATCCAGGCACCAAAGTGGTACATCAAACCAATGTGCCTCACATTGGTGTGGCTCCAAACACCTGGAGAGCAGGGTCTGCATTGGGGATGGATGAGGGTGGGAGCTGGCCACACCTCCAGTCACCAGGGGAACATGGGGAAAAAGAGGAAGTACATGTTTCCTGTCACCTGTGTGAATCTGCTCTGCACGTGGTGCTGAAGCTGCTCACCAGGGGATCTGGCCAGCTGTTCACCAGTGAGTCGCTTGCTCATCTTCTCCTCCCAGCAAGTGTTAAGTGCCGTTGAGTCGGTTCCGACCCAAACCCTGTTTCCAAGGGTGTAAATCTTTACGGGAGTAGAAAGCCTCATCTTTCACGGAGCAGCTGGTAGTTTAGAACCGCTGACCTTAGGGTTCGCAGCCCAATTCGTAACCACTATGCTACCAGAGAGCTCCCAGCAAGTACTCATTTCTGCCATCTTTCCTGTGAAGTTCCAACTTCCAGGTTTTTCCTGTTCCCTCTGGAGTCTTGTATCATTGTCTGTGTCAACAGTGTGTCTGCCTAGCCTCCCATCTTTCTGGAGGTCCAGGTAGGTTTATTTTACTATATTTATTTTATTCTTGTAGTCTACTTGATTTTTCTTCATTTGCAAGTTCGGTAACTACATTATTTCCTCTTTTTACTTTTTTTTTGTTATTACTGCAACTGTATCTGATTTTCTATTTCACTCTGGCAGGTCTGTTTTTCTTTGAACATTTCCATATCCAGTTGAGTCTAGGTGATAGTGACCTCTACATTATTCTCAGGTTATTGTCTGGTGTTTGGTTCTTTGTCCAAAGAACTCCCTTTAGTATTTTTTGTAAGGTTGGACTGGTTTTAACAAGTTCTTTTAATTTCTGTTGATCTGAAAATGACCTCATTTCATCACATTTGATGGACAATTCTATAGGAAATTTGATTCTTGGTTGGCAGTTTGTCATTCCATTGTCTTCTTGCCTGCATGTTTTCTGCTGATAAGTCAGAGTTTAGTCTTATTCTTTTAAATTTTTTTGTACTTTTTCTCCCTCATTGTTCCTATAGAAAATGAATATTGAGAGATTTTTAAGTTCAGTAATCTGGCCTTCCATTACTACAATGGGGTCCTGGGGTAGCGCCATGGGTTAATGTGCTGGACTGCAAAGTTAGTTTGAAAAACCGCAATGTTGGTAAGCTCAACCTTACCCTATACGGGGTCACTATGGGTCGGAACCCAACCCCATGGTACTTTACAACAATATTACTTCAATTCTACTTCTTTGCCCTTTTCAGTGTATTATCTATTTCTGAAACCTTACCTTTAGCTTTCTGGGTTTCTAATTGTCCTTATTTTTTCATTTATTTTGTCAGTTTGCTTCCTGGATTCTTCTAAAGTTTTGTCCTTGATTTTATCTGCAGTTTTTTGTGATCACTCTTCTACTTTGTTGAGGTTACCTAATTAACGTTCTTTTAAATTTCTTATCAGGTAGTTCTGATACCATTTTTGGTGTTATGTTTTCTGATTCTTCTGTATCTTGGTCACTTGTCTGAGGCACTCTGTCTTGATTCTTTGTGTAAGTGGAACTGGTCTGTTTTCTCTGAGACACTGGTGTAGTCTCAGATCTGTCTCCTGGCAGATGTGGTAGAAACTGGAAGTGTGAATGCGGTTTTCTGCTCACTGCTTGTAACCTGTAGTTCAGGGCGGGTTCATGTGCTTTCAGAAGCAGAGGTACTATGTCAGGAGCCTGAACCCAGGCAGAGCAGAGGCTGTGCAGGAGGGGTGCCACTGGGCTGGGAGGGGCAAGGACTGACTGGCTGTTCTCAGGAGGGCATGGAAACAAGGGACATCTACACCTTCTGCCACTGAGCTCTCGCTGAATCCTGAACCCACACTCGGCTGTACTGACAGCTGCTCACATGGTCCAAGGTGGCCTCACTGCTCCACGTCAGCCCTGTCTGCTCATTCTCCTTCCCTCTCGCTGCTCCAATGCAGCTTCCTTTTCCAGCTGGCACTCAGCCCACCTGTCCTGGCCTCTGATGCTTGGGATTCTGAGTTCACCATCTGTATGGGTTTTATTCCATCTCCCAAGTCTTTGTTACAAAGGGTTGGCTCAGTGCATCTACTTACCCTGCCATCATTCCCTGGCTTTCTCGATTTACTTTTAATTCCATTCTTCATGAACTTTGTGAAGCCCCCTCATGTCCGAGGGGGGGGGAATCTCTGGATGTGGGAAGGAGGCTACATCCCAAAGCCTGGTCTTCAGTACTGGGCTTTTCACTAACATGTGGTGGTTTTAGAGAATGACTTGTTTCTGATAAATGATCTGTGTCAACTCATAGAACAAGCCATTAAAAAGAAAAGATAAAGATTAAACCCCCAGTGCTCAGAAAAGGAGCCCTGGTGGTAAAATTGTCAATCACTCACTTATTGCCCCCAAAGTGTAGCCGTCCACAGCCACGCGCTGCTCTCAGGGAGCGACGGGGCAGTCTGCTTCCGTCAAGATGATACTCTTGGAAACTCCAAGGAACGGCTGTGACTCGTAGTGGTTTGCTAGCAAGAGGGTTTTGGATTTGGAATGCCCAGAAACAATCACATCTTGTACCTTCTAATGAGTCACGTCAGCATCTGTGCCCCTCACAATGCTGGGGGTACTTTTAAAATGGCTGGATAACAAAGTACTCGGAGTGGGCCAGGTTTTGATGGCAGACCACCAGAGCTGTTGGGAGAGCCATCCTGGGGAGGTGGCTGTGGGGGTGGGGTCTCACCTTCCTGTAGCTCCTGAAGGCGGTGGAGACACTGGCCCACCATGGCCTGCAAGCCTTCCAGCATAAGCAGACGGCGATATTCCTGCAGCCAGTGTGTGGGGGCTGCGGCCAGCTCATTCCGCATGCACAGCTTCAGCAGGGAGCAGGCGTGCCACAGCTGCTCCACTTCAGCCTCCACTTCCGCTGCACTGAGCCCTGAGCCGCTGGACAGGCCTGACTAGGACATGGTCAGGGAAACTCTCCTGTTGCCAGGACCCAATTGCCCACACCCAGGGCAGTACTCTGGCTATCACGGCCCGGCCCTTCCAGGTAGCTCCTCCAACCCAGCCTTCCACCAGCTCCGAGGATACTGCTGCACGCATCTTGCGCAGGAATCGGGCTCTGGCGGCGGCACTTGCTGAACTGCTGGTTTCTGTGGAGCAGATCTGGGTCCACAGACTGGGACGCACGAGGGTACCCAGGAATCAGAGGAGGGATGCCAGTTATTTCAGCCTCTGTACTGAGCAAGGTTGGGCAGTACCCCAGCTGCGGGGAGGAGGGGATGTGGCTCTGCCAAATGCCAGAAGGGCCCCCAGAGAATGAGGGGGCAGTGACTGTAGACAGGGACAAAGCTGGCTCCTTTGGGGAATGCTAACAGGGATCCAAGGGGAGAAGGAGGGCGGCAGGAACTACGATGTCCTCTGTGCTAGGACAGAGCCCACGTGGAAGGGGCTGCGGTCCAGTCCTTACACCCTGACCACACCGGTACGGCACTCCTGAGACTTATGAGATACTGGATGCCCTGCTCACAAGGTGTCCCACTGTGAGGAGTTGAGTCGGGGGCAGAGGGGGCGTAGAGCCTGAGGTGACTGAGGGTACCCTGGCTTGTCATGTGCCCCACCATCCCCAAGGAGCCTCCTCACCCGGAATTCTTGGAAACAGCCCTTTGGAAGACCGCGGGCAGCCGAAGCAGGGTCCTGTGGGAAGTTCAAGTTTAGGAAGGCCTGACCCTGCAGGCCCTGATCCCTACTTAAGAGTCCCATCAAGGGTAAGGCTCCCGCACCCCCCACAGCAGAGCCCTATGAGGGGCCGCAGTCTAGCCCAGCAGAGAGGAGACGGCACGAACAAGGATGGCCGCCTGAGAGCCGATGCTGAGACTGAAGGAGCGATAGTCCAGGGCCCCCATACCCATATCTCATCACCCCAAACCCCACCGTCCTGGCCAGAGTCGGTAAGCATGGGGAACCTACCCCTTCTCTTTGAGTGTGAAAGCTTCTGGGGCCACCTGTGAGTCTCCAATGCTGGGCCCGGAGGCTCCGACTCCTGTACCCTGAGTGGTCCTCTGCCCACCAGGCAGAAGTTTGACCTCCGGGTGGTCCTTGGCCGGCACCTTGGGCTGGTGGATACTCTGGCGGGGTTTCGTTTTGGATGTACGGCTGCCAGGCTGACCTGGGGCCTGGGATGGGGTCGAGGCTCTGGTGGCCGAGGTTCTGGGTTTCAGGTTGGGGGCCTTGTGGCCCTGTCCGGCCCTAGACACGCCTTTTCGCACCCGGACGGCCTTCGCCAGCGCCTGGGTCAGGAGCTCCAGCTCCTTGACGTCTTGGGGGCTGGGCGCACATGCTGTGAAAGGGAAGTTTCGTGCCAGGCTGGCCACCTGTCGCTTCCTGGCAGCTGGGTGCGAACCAGTGACGGGCCAGCCTGGAGAAGGTGGGGAGCTGAGGTTTACCTGGAGGCTGGTCCTCTTTCTTCGTTTCTGGCCCTGGGGTCGACGCTGGAGCTGGGGGCCCGGTCGGTTCCCTGCGGACACACAGGCGGTCATGGCACCGCCAGGAGCCAAGACACCCGGGATGCCCCTCCGTCTCGGACCCCTGTGGCTAAGGGGAACCCGGCAGTGGGATCCCGAGGGGCTCTGAGGAACCCAGGGGGCCTAGTCTGGCATCCCGGTCCGCTTACCAGGCCCGCAGGAGCCGCCGACAGCCGCGCAGACTCTGGTCCAGCTGCTGCTGTCGCTCAGCGCAAGCGTCCAGCGCGCCCCGCAGCTCGGTCACCAGTCTTGGGAGATGGGACACCCGGAGACTCAGCACCATGACCTGGTCCCCGGCCCCGCCCGCACCCCCCTCCCAGCCCGCGGGACTCACCGGCGCGAGCACTCGGCGGGAAGCATGGAGGCTGTGACCCGGACCGTGGCGGTTCTTTGCGTTTTGCCGCTACACGAAAGCACAGCCCCTTCCGGGAGAGAAGACTGCCTCTTCCCGGCCGGGTTACCCAATCCTGAGTCGATAACGCAGAACTTCCCGCCCACCCGAAGGTGGGCCCGCCAAAGACCACGCCCAGCGCTGCAAAGCCGGCCCAGGCTCCAGCTGGTAGCAGTTTGCGGGGGTTGCAGCCTTCAGGTGTGGGAACCCGGGAGGATACGGACGCAGAGCACTTCCCCTCATTTTACGATTGGCTTCGTGTTTACCTCCAGTCATAGGAAGGGGCCGGTGTCACACCTACAGCACAAAGATGGAGGAGTGTGTCTAATCCTCGGAGGGGGTGTTCACTCTGGCTGTGTTGCGGTTGAGCTCATGGCGCCCCCCTGTTCAGGGGTGGCTCGTGGAGCCAGGTTTAGCTCATGGACTATGGGGCTGGGAAGTACGGGCTAAGGTGGGTTGGTGTGCGTGGATGGGGCAGGTGGGGCATAGGGGATGTGAGCCTAGCCCCAAGGAACACCTGGAGGGAATTGTGGGTACAGACACTGGCTAGGCTGAGTGAGCTGCAGGCACATTGTAGGGGCCAAGGAATAGCTATTGGGTAGCAGCTGGATTCCCGGTGTTCTGCCCTGTAGGGTTGGCAGGTCAAACCTAGCAGCCACTCCTTAGAAGCCTTATACAGGCTCAGGTTTGCCGATTTGGAAGTGACTCCATAGCACTTCATGTAGCTGGAGGAGAGACACAGTGTGGGGTGTGTGTGTGAGGGGGGGGGCGTTGTTTAAAGTAGGGATGATTTGAGTTCATTGCATATTATCAAGAAAGTTCTCAGAAACCCTGTACAGGGTCACTATGAGTCAGAAATGACTCGACAGCACTTACCAACAAAAGGTAAGTAGAGTTAGAGGCAGAGAGGATGCAACTGGGACACTCTAGACTCAGAGAGGGAGAGGGGCTCTGTGCTGATGACCGCTGGCAGGCTTGTAGGGTATACTCTTTGGTTGGTTGATGATGCGTGGAGGGGATTGTAACCATGGCAATGAAACAATATACCATAAGATGAATGTAAAACTAATGTTCTCCCATGTCAACTATTACATAATTCACACACACACAATAAGGTAAGTTCTGGTGGCTCAGCCCATAGCTAACCCAAAGGTTGGCAATTCAGACCCACCAATTGCTCTGAGGAACAAGTGGCCTAGCTGTCTGCCCAGTGAAGATGACCGCTGAAAAAGCCCTCCACAGCAGCTCTACAGCCACGTGGGGTTACTTGATATCGCAGGGAGGTGCCGCACATGGACCCCTCTCTACAGCAGTGACCCGGTTTCATGCCTGGGTAGGAGGCTGGCAGCGTTTCTGGCCCATGGATACAGGTTTACTTCAGATACTGCAATAAAGCAGGTCACATGAATATTTCCGTTTCCCAGTGCTATAAAAGCTGACGTGGCTATTGTTTATGAAGCGTGCGATGGCATGATGTAAAGTCTGAACTATTGTGAGAATGACCAAAATGGGGCAGAGACACAACCTTCAATGTGTGAAAAACGCAGTAGTATCTTTGGAGCGTAATAAACGAGGCACGTCTGTATTAGACTCTGTGGAGAAGTGGCGGATGGGTAGCCCCCACAAATGGTTTTGAAAGCAGAGAGCTGGGTGGGTGCCAAGTTGGGATTTTGGTACAGGGACCCTGGGATGAGCCCATCGAGGCAGTGAACTAAGCCATGCATTTGGCACCATTCTTATCACATTTAATCCTCACAACATCCCGTGAGGTAGGTATCACAGCCCCATCTTACAGATGAGACGACTGAGGCTCAAGAGGCTAACAGTGTGCACTGTGGGCAAAGTCCACATGCTAGTGGCCAGAAGATAGCTACCTGAGGCTCACAGGAATGACAACTGAGTTGGCACCTCCACGGCCCCGTGTGATTCAGCCAGGCAGTTCTTAATCTCAACAGGAAGTAAAAGTCTATCGGAGGGAGGTCAACGCATCACCCTAGGGGGCACTTCCTGGCTGGACACTTGGTCTGCCGGGCCGATAATTCTTTCCAACGACCTTCTTCCCATGGGCCTCAAGGGTAGACAGCAGTGACTGATCATTCCAAGGCATAAAAGAGACCACAGATACGGACTCAACCCTCAGATGTTCGCAACAACTAAATTGCTTTCTGGCTAAGCTGCTGGGGAGGAACCTTTCTGAGGGCAGACTGGTAGTCTGAAGGGTAGGGGTCCATTTCCCCCTTGCAGTGGAGCCTAATGCACACTGGGAACTGCATTTTGTGGTTCAGACCCTCAATCCTCAATCCTTTTTCTGTCTCCTCTTGGAATGACGCAAGGAGACAAAGATGATCAAGGTGGTAGACAGATTCAGTGCAGAGAGTTCTAGAGGTCCTGGGGGAAGAGCAGAGTCCCAAAATGGGTGGAGAGGCTAGGGCTGGGGAGTCTGGGGGTGGGGTCTCAGTGGCCTGGCCCAGGGCTCCTTGACTTGGGGTGTAGCCCCCTTACTATGGCACCACAGCCAATGAAGAGGAAACGAGCAGCTGCCAGACCAGAGATTGGAAAGGCGGGTATCTGCCAAGCTGCCAGTGCCTCCCTCGCACCCTGGCAAGGGCAGACATGGGTAAGGAGGCAGGCTCTATGGGGAATGGGGCTGGGAAGACCAGGCTGGGGACTTCAGCTGCTGAAGGCAGGGACAGCGAGCAGGTTTCAGGCAGTGCAGTAAAATGGCTCTGGGGGCGCTTGGTGACCCCGGAAGAAAGGACTTGAGCACTTCCTTATGCTTATTCTGACCCCTGGAGAAAGGAACTTGGCCCACAGGTTAGCTACCAGAAGACCAAGGCTTGGGGGCCTGCCCCTCCCTGGTGAAACAGCACCCCTAGTAAACATTCACTGTTTACCCCACCCCCACCGCTCACAGCATCGGGAAGCCCAAGGTCACGTCCCCGCCACTGTGCTCCGCCATGTGCTTGCGTTTGGCCTGTCGCCGGGGCCCGCCGCTCTCCGGGGATGCCACGGAGCAGGGCTGTAAACATGACTTCCTGGTGGTACAACCGCAGGGGTGTGGGTTCCAGTCACTGCCTGGCAGTGGCTCTGAGGTAGGTCGCAGGAGACTGCAGCTGGTGGGGCTGGGGCTGACAGAGGAGTACCCTGAGGTCGTGCTGTCCTTGCCTGGCCCCCGCCTGCCGCAGGGACGAAGCTCCGGCCCTGGGATTGGTGGGGTCTGGGGATTTGGCGCTGTGGCAGGCAGGCCCTGCAGGACGTCCTCCTCCTCCTCCGGGCAGGCCTCCTCGTCACTTGACTCCCGGCAGCAGTGCTGCTCTGGGTTCAGGTAGACCACGGTGACGTCGAGGATACCGCTGGGGGCCGTCACTGTGGGAGATGTTGGGGGAGTAACTGAGAGGACACGCAGTAGGGCAGGCGGGGGACGGGACAAGGGCTTCTGACTCCAAACTCCAAACTCCACAGCAAAGCAGCTGGGAAATAAAGCCTCCTGCCAGCTGGGCTTCTCCGAGGGCTGTCCCGCATGCATGGGCCTGGGCTGGACCTCCGCCCCTCCCACAGCAGCACAGTGGCCCTCCTTGTTGAGACAGCATCCTGGCAGCTATGTGGCACCACCCAGGGGTAGAATGCGCTCTGAAGGCCTCTCACTGCCCAGTTTGCAGGAAATCGTCTTCCTAGACGCCTTTGGGGGGGACTCATTTCTCAAACCTCCAAGTTAGCACCTAGTGTTCCACAGGCCACTGCCCTCAGCACCTACCGTCACCCTCCTTCTCGCCCTCGCTCTCCTGGTCGCCTTCGTAGCCAGAGCAGCAGTCCAGGCTCCAGTCTAGGAAGCTGCCCAGCAACGTCTCCTCCTCCTGGCTGGAGAGCTCGGCTGTGGGGGTGGTCACGAAGCTGCCGCGGCCCTCCTGTAAGCTGTTTTCCCTCTTCCTGTGGGTGGGATAGGGGCCGCTGAGCATGGTGGGGTGGGGGCAGTGCCAGGAGCCCTGAGGGCAGGGTCAAACCAAACCCGGTGCCACCGAGTTAGTTCCAAAGCCTGGCAACCCCACAGGACAAAACAGAACTAACTGGCCCTCAGTGGCTCAAGGCTGTAAGTTTGTATGGACTCAGGCTTCCACCACCCTCTAAGCGATCGGTTCACAGCGGAGCACTTTAACTACGGCACCCCCAGGGCTCCTTGGAAGATGTCCACTTAGGTCAATCACGTGCCCTTATGAGGGTTTGATTCATGGCGCTCCATCTCCACGTGGCTTCACTGGGGATGCTGACCCCAGAGCTGTTCTGTTGTGAGACCTCACATAGGTCTAGGGTGCCAGCATCCCAGGCCTTGGTCAGGGCACTCCAGCTCACTCACCGCTTGGTCCTCTTTCCAGAGGGAGAGCTGAGGAAGGTGTGGATTTCGCCAGAACTGAGAAAGGACGCTGGTTCCGGGTTCTCTTGTTTCACGCCCAACAATGTGCACAACTGGCCGTAGCTGATCACCTGAGAGGAAGATGGGGTCAGCATGCTGGGAAGGAGAGATGTTGGGTACCCCACCCACCTGGCTCCCTGTGGTACCTGCTCCTGGCTGATCCCCTCATAGCGCTTGTCCTCAAATCGCTGCTTCACTGCAGTCAGAGAAACTTGCCTATAGTCCTTGGGGGCATCATCATGGAAGCTGGAAAAAAGAGGGACAGTGAGGGGCAGCCATGTGGGGGTGCTCCATGCAGGTGACATCAGCACCCCATCCCAAAAGGTCTTTAACCTTGGCCCACTGCACCAAAGAAAGCGAGAAAATGTGAAGGATCACCCAGGACAGACATGCTGTGGATGTTTCCACACATGGTAGAGCATCATTCTGCCTTTGATCTATAGTAAAACCCTGCTCAAAACGGGGGGAGACACAGAACCGAATTTCAAATTCTCATGGCACCTAGACGTAGTCCTTGAGGCTGGATGAACCCCAAAACTATTGTTCTGAGGGCATGTTTCTTGCAAATTATGGTTTAGGTGAAAGGCTGAGAAAATCTTTAAAACCTTCGACCAAAAAATAACCCTGGAAGTCTTCTTAAAGCAAATAATTGTTAGGTGCCATTTAGTAGGTTCCGGCTCTTAGCAGCCCCGTGCACAGAAGAATGAAACACTGCTAGGTCTGAGGTATTCTCAACAATCATTATGTTTGAGACCCTTGATGCTGCCACTGTTGGGGGCGGGGGTCCTTCCTCTTTTTGTCTAATCTTCCACTTTACCAAGAATAATGTCCTTCTGAAGGGACGGGTCCTTTCTGATAATACGTCTGAAGTATGAGAGAGGAAGTCTGGCCACCCTGACTTCTAAAGAGCCTCCTGGCTGTACTTCTTCCAACACAGATTTCTTTGTTATGCCCTGGAGTCTTCTTTAACTGAACAACTATTTAGCTTAATCAGTCAAGACGATTTGCCTTGCGCTTGTGCTCTTTACAGTCTCTAAAGGATCAGACCACCAGCTCCTCGCAAGCCTCCATGGGGACTTTGGGGGCAGTGAGTCGATGTGAATGAGAGAAGGGGGTGAGGTCAGGTGCTCAACCCAAAGAACGTCACCATGTCACTGAGCTGAACCTGGAGAACAGCTGAGTGGGTGTATGCGTCAATGTACCAACCTCAACAATATGAAAACATTAAAACAAAATCTCTTTTCCCAGTTTCTTTGCTGGATCATTTAACGGTGCCTGGAGAAGTCAGGTAGCTTGTTCACGCTTCTGCCGCTAATGAACTGCATTTCAGGCCACAGCCCAAGGCCCCCAGGACAGCGCTACCCAGGATGTCTCCTATCTGGGGCCTTGGGGGAGCCAATAGGGTAGCAGTTGGTGTCCCTATGGACTGGGGAAACGCCAGAGCTGCGACGTACCCATGTCTCCAAACTCTAAGGAAGGGTCTGAGAAGGGCAGGGGCAGCAGTGCCACCAGGGACCACCGAGTGAGGACTGAGTCATCGTGTCACACCCAACTGTGAGAAAGCCTTTCCTCACAGGGGGGACTCTGGGGGTGGGGTCAGTGATGCTGCCCCTATCTGCCACCACTTCTGTTTTAGACCCTAACTTCCTAGCACCATCACCATCTGACTGACTGAGGGAGTGATCTGTTCCAGCTGCCTGCCTTGCCCCAGTTCCCTGTCCAGCACACTCTTGGCTGCCCACTGCATGGCCGAGGCATCTAGCACAATGAACCAACCAGAGCTGGAGGGAATGGTCCAGAGAGCAGCTGTAGGCAAGTGGGGTGATGCAGGGCGGGGAACCCGGGAGGCCTGAGCTCAGATCAGAGTTGACTGTGGGGAAGGTGTAAGGACAGAAACAGACGGGATTTGGTGGTAAGAGATGGTTCTCCTGTCGGCTCCTACTTCACTCAATGAGACTAAGGTCCTCCCTGCCTCTACCAGCTGGCTCCCAGGCTGGCAGTGTCTCTGTATAGGGCCTTTTGCCTGTGCTGCGCAGAGCCTTCCACAGACAATGTGGAAATGTGTGATGTGTGCCAATACAATTTAATTATACAACCAGGTCAGGGGCCAGATTTGCCCTGTGGGCAGCGGTTTGCAGACTCTTAAACTAAATGAGGCTCTCTGTTCCCAGGAAGATTTCAGCCTTGGAAACCCTATACAGGGCCACTGTTGAGTCAGAAGTGAGCCTCCTACATTTATTTGCCAGTATACCCCCTCATGCTTTATGCTAATTTCTTTGCTAGCAACCACACGTTAAAATAAACGTATAGCCAGAAACTTAGAAAAACACCTCCCCAGGGGAGGAAACAGTTGGTAAATAGGTGTAGAAAGTGCGTTTTACTTTGTATAAAAACAGAATAGGTTTTGGTTGGTTTTGCGGCACAAGTTGCCAATGTTCAGAGACAGGGTCCTGGCATTTTTAGAAGGAGGGATGTGCGCTGGCGGCCTCCCCACCCTGGCACCCTGGCACCCACACTCACCACTTTTTATGAAGGCTCAAGACACAGGGTACAAGGTCTTCATGGGAGAATCCAGTGAGGTCCCAGAGCCGACGCGTCCAGGCCTGTGCTGGGGAGCAGAGGTCAGGCATGAAGGGGGGATTTGAAGGCTGCCTACCACTCCCACCCCACAGCTCTGCCAGCTCCTGGGGGATGTTTCTTTACAGCTGTTTGGAAACATCACCAGATAGTGGGTGGGTGTGCACTGGTTAAACCACCAACAGACCAGAGCCAGAACTAGCTACCTTCCAGCTGACCCTGACTCACAGAGACCCCAGGTGTGCGGGAGCAGTACTGCCCACCACAGGGCTTTCTGTGGCTGAAATTTTGGACAGTAGATTGCCAGGTCTATTTTCCAAGGCATCTCTGGGTGGGCTCGAACCTCCAGCCTTCAGGTTAGGGGCTGAGGGGCACGTGCACCGACTCCACTTCAGCTGGTTATTATTGGTTGTCAATGAGTCGATTTCCACCCTGCAGTGAGCCACGTGTGCAGAGCACAACTGTACATAATAGGGTTATGGAAGCAGACTGCCAGGGTCTTTCTTCCTAGTGCCTCTGGGTGAATCTGATCCATCAGCCTTTTAGATGGTAGTTGGGTGCTTCTGTTTGCCACACCCCAAAACCCCAGGTAAGCTGGGACCTACTCTAACCTCAGGCCCTATACAGACTACTGCAGGGTCAGCCTCAGGAGCTTACTTCCCCTTTCTCTCTCTGCGTCCACCCCGTGTCCTGGACTCCCTCTGGATTGCGGGCCCCCGGGCGTAGACTCCTTACTCTGTCCATGCATCAGCCTGGCCAGGAGCAGGGCGGCGGCCGCCAGGTGGGCAGGGGCGAAGGCCGACAGGCTGGTGTGAAGCAGCGACAGTTCACAGAGGAGGCCGCACAAGTGCTGGGTCTTTCCTGGCACAGGGTCCAGCACTAGTAGGACCTCTTTGTAGTCCACCACGGTGGGGGTCTGCACAAAGTGGGGGGGGGGGCGGGCGCTGGGGTCACGGCAGTTAAGGGGCTCCCCCATCCCAGGCCTGGCCCCGACAGCAGCTCCTCCCTGTGTTCGAGTCCCAGCGAGGGGAAGCACCACTCACGCGAATCTTCCCCTCCAGAGCAGAGACGATCTCTCCCATCATCCTCACCAGGTCTTCATATTTATACGTGTTGTCGGTGAGCCACACGGCCTCCCGGATTGTCAGGATCTCCTTACTGATGAACCTGAGACACGGGAAACTGTTCTCAGGCCCGAGCCCAAGTCTCCGTGGGATGGGCTAGGGCTCAGGGCCCTATGGGAGGCTGCCAGGATGGACAGACAGGCAGGTTCCTAGTGCACCTGTCTGCCCATGGTGAACCAAGGGCCACGGGAAGGAGAGACTGGAAGAAGGTGCTGGAAAAGTCAGAGACACCTGGGAATAATTGACCTCACAGACTATGGACCACAAGAACTCCAGCCTCTAGAATTGGGAGACCATCACTAGGCGAGGGCTGGCTCCCACTGCTGACCCTCTGAAAGGGATCACAGTAAGATGTCCCAGACAGAGTGCGAGGAAAAAGCAGGACCAAACTCAAAATCACAAACAAGAGCAGGTTTACTGGAACTCTCTTAGCCTCCTGGCTCAATGGGTAAAAGACAGACAAGCCTATAAAGTGATGGATAACACCAGGGAGGGAGGTGTGTGTCCCACATGAGACAGACAGCATCTGCCCAGGAAGAAGCTCAGAGGACGGGGAAGAAGTGGGAAGAGTTTTGATTCGCTGAGGAGGTTGGAATGCATCTCAATAACACGTGTGCTCCAGCTATTGAATGGAAACCCATTAGCAACAAAGTTACAAAACAAAGCACTGAGGAAAAGAGGGATGGGAGGGAGGACAGATATGGGGTGAGGATGGGAGAGGGGACAGGGTGAGGATGGGAGGGGACATGGGAGGGGAGGATGAGAGGGAGACCAGATGAACAGCGGGGAGCGGGGACAGGGGTGAGGATGAGAGGAGGGGGACCTTGACTGTTCCTAGCAGGTGGTCACCTTGCGCTCTGCTCTCCTTTGGTACCAATATTGGGACACCGGGGTCCAGTGCCTATAAGAAGGACACTTCCCCTTCCCGGGGCCAGGCCTCCTTGGGCACCAACAGCTCCTGCCCACAGTGCTGGTATTGGGATTCTAGCGCCCAGGTGAGCAGTGAGTGGGATTCTGAGGGCCAGGGCTGCAGGGCAGGTGTGGGTCAGAGGTGCTCAGGAAATGGAGGACACCTGCTACTGAGAATTGCCCAGCTGGGGAGCTACCCACGGGGAGCAGGAGGCTACACGGCTCTCAAACCAGAGGGCAGTGGGGATGCTAAAGCAGCTGTTGTGAGAACTGTGAGGAACTCCCATGTGTCCGTGTTTGCACTTGGGGGTCCAGAGGTCCTTGTGAGCCTCGTGCCAGGGTGGGCCCCTGGACAGGTTCGCCTAGAGAAGGACCGCTGCACTGAGAGCCCAGTCTGCCACGGCCCCACCGCCCAGCACTCCATGACGTGGGGATGCCTGGGAAGGGGGGGCCCATCACTCGGGTACAGCTGGGGAGAACTCAGGCGGTCACTGACAACCCAGGTACTGAGTGGGTGGAAGGGGCCCCTTACCGGGTGCAGATGACCATGCAGGCGATGCCCAGAAGCTGTAGCTGGTGCCGGGCCACGGGCCTCCGCTGCAGGTAACGGTCCACACACTCCACAGTCAGATGAAGGCACAGGCTCGTGAAGTCCTTCATGGTGGCCACCTCTACCAGCCAGTCGATCAAAATGTACCTGCCGCGAGAGGACAGACTGAGCCCTCCAGGCTCTAAAGACAGGGACACAGGCGCCGAGCAGAGTCCAACAGGGTGAGTCTGCAGGGAATCGCCAAGCACAACCACACGGGGGCTAACTCTTACCACAAGCACAGGTGTGATCAGAGAGCTAGAGACGCGCAGAAAGAGCAACCGCAGCCGTTACGGGTGGGAATAAAACGGCGCAACTGCTGCAGAAAGCAGTGTGGCGTTTCCCCCAAAATGACACATAGAGTTGCCACGTTGTTGTTGTTAGGTGCCATCAAGCTTCTAGCTCATAGCAACCCTTTACAGGGTGTTCTGAGGTGTGCTGGTGGATTTGAACCACCAACCTGAAGCTGAGCAGTCCAGTGCAGATCCTACAGTACCACACCAGGACCCTGAGAATGACCATACGACCCACCCATTACACTCCTGGGGATCTACCCAAATCCCCAAACCAAAGCCAGTGCTGTGAGGTCGATTCTGACACACAGGCACTCTACAGGATCTAGGAGAATGACCCCACAGGGTATCCGAGTCTGTCGTCTTTACTGAAGCCCACAGCGGAAGCTTCCTTCCCTGGAGCACCCGGCAGGTGTGAGCTGGTGACCTTGTGGGGAACACTAGGGCACAAGGGACCTGCAAGCAGAGACTCAAGCAGTACTTGTCCATCAATGCTCCAAATAGTCCGAGTAGCTGACTGGGCCGAGAGGAGGGGGTCTAACCATAGACAACACCCAGAGTGGGCAGAAGGCCTGGTGACTCGGCAGCTAATGGAAAGGCGGGAGGTAGTTCTCATCACCCAGCTTTCCAGGAGAAAGGCTGCTGATCTGTTTTCCTAAAGACGACAGCCTTGGAAACCCCACGGGGTCACAATACGTTGCAATTGAAGGCACACAACAACGAGCAAACATATAGAAAAATACAGACAAGAGAGGTCATCGGGGATGGGGGACGGATGGGAAGTTAGTGCTTCGAGGGTACGAGTTTCCGTTTGGAGTAAGGAGGATTTGTGGAAGTATACACACACTGACACACAATGGGGGAGTCCTGGAGGGGCTGCTAAGGGCACCTTCTGGTCCTCGGCTGCTCTGGCCGGGACGCCATACCTCATGGTGTCGTTGAGACCCTTCTGCACAGAGAAGACCCGCAGCTTGCTGGCGGCGCGGGAGGCTTGGAAGAGGTGGGAGACGATTTCATTGCAAGTTTTCTCCTCTAGGCCAAGCTGGTTCCTGCTAGCACAGGCTTTGGCCAAAGACAGCTGGAGGGAGAACACACAAAACAAGGGTGAGGCACTGGCCTTGTGTGTGTGGGGTCCTGTCTCAGAACACAGGGACTTGCCCCTCAAAACAGGCAACCACCTGAGACCCAAAGGGCAGCATTGCCCAGAGAGAAATCTCAGAAGACAAGAAGGGATAGGAAAGGAGGGAGGAAGAAGGGATAGGAAAGGAGGGAGGAAGAAGGGATAGGAAAGGAGGGAGGAAGAAGGGATAGGAAAGGAGGAAGGAAGAAGGGATAGGAAAGGAGGGAGGAAGAAGGGAAATGAGAAACAAGAAATGGGAAGAGGCAAGTTCCACTGTGCGGACCATGATCCATGTCACATAGGCGCTGGACAGAAAGCCAATCTGCTCTGTAAACCTAACTTACAACAAATGAAACAAAAAATAGCCGGATGGTGAACACAGGACTAGGAGCCCTGCTGCTCAATGGTCACCTGCTGACGGAAAGGGTGGCAATTCACACCTACCCAGGTGACGTGCTCCCCTATTTACAGCCAAGGATACCTCCGGGGCAGTTCTAACCATGAGGGGGTCACAATGAGTCCATCAGTACAACTCTCCCCACAGTACCCAGCAAGCCCAGGGCTGGGGAGTCAATTCTGACTCAGCGCAACCCCAGAGGACAGAGGACCACTCCTGGGGGTTTCTGAAGCTGTTACCTCCACAGAAGCAGACGGCCAGCTTTCTCCCCCAGATGCAGGGGGTGGGTTCCAACTGCTGACCTTTTTTGTTGAGCAGCCCAATGCTTAACTCATGACACCACTAGTGTTCCTTCCACCAATGTTAAGTGCCATTGAGTCAGTTCCAACTTATAGTGACCCTGTAAAGGGTTTCCGCAGAGCGGCTGATGAGCTTGAACCACCGACCTTGCAGTCCAGTGGGTGCAATATCCTGCAGCACACACCAGGCCTCCCTTCCAACAACAGGAGCAGCTGTTTTGATCACACCTTCGCCTGGAAAACCGACTGCTGTGAAAAATCCGTGTTTTCAGATGTTGACAGCTATGCACCCCAAGTACAGTGACTATCCGAGGGGGCTTCAGTAGTTCCCGGGAAAATGCCATCATCTTTTCATTCCTTTTCCCGTGACCTTCCGAAGCCCCCTCCTGTACGAATACCTTGGTAAATGTAACCAGCCCACCTTGTTTTGCACTTGGTTGACAGGGAGTGTGGTCCCACCTGTCTGACTAACTAGCTGTGTCTTCTTGACTTGCCTGTTGGTGGATTCTGACCCCATGAGTAGAACTGCTCCACGGGCGTTTTCAAGGCTGACTTTTGAGAAAACAGATTACCAGGACTTTCTTCCAAGGTACTTCTGGGCAGGTTCCAAATGCCAACCTTTTAATGTTGAGTGCTTCATTAACCATTTGTGCCACCTCAGTGCTCCTTTAAGGTGAGGTGTGGCGCTGTAGGATAAGCACTGGACTGCAAGGTTCAAAATCACCAGCCGCTCCTATGGGTTGGAACCAACTCAGCAGCATTTGACAAAGTGCTCAGCTGGTAACTGAACGGTGAGGGGTTTGAACCCACCAGCTGTTCTGTGGGAGGAAGATGTGAAACAGTCTGCTTCCATAGAGGTGTACACCCAGCCTGACAGCATGGAGGGCAGTGGGTGTGGCGTGGGTATGTGTCATACAACATTAGAGCGTGGGAAGTGGGGCACTGAAGTGGAGCTCCCGTGGGTGACAACTATTAAGTCAGGGTCCTGTAAGAACTGGAAGCCACACAACAGCATTCTACTGTGGAAGGAGAAGTTCTGCGTAGCCCCGAGAATTGCAGTTTTTAGGACGTGTCTAACCTACTCCCCAGTCTTCAGCTATCTGGTCGTCTGACACTTTGTTTGCATTTACACCTAGTGGGGGAGGGAGGCATGAGGTTTGAGAGCAGCGAGACTGGGAAGGCAGAATTCTGCTGCTGGTTCCGGTCAAGAAGCCAGATGGGGCCGCATGAGCTGGGGAGGGGACTCAAAAGTCGCTTCTTACAAAGAGATCTCTCTGCCACCTTTGTAATCTCTGCTGGGCGCAGGTGGCTGGGTCTCCCCTGCATACAGGCCTGAGGACCACCACCACCACCAAGGCCCATCTCTGGGGCTGGTGGAATGGGAAGGTGGGGAGGTGAAGAGGCCTGGAGTGCAGCCAGGTGATGGTGGGCTCTGGAGGCGGCCAGCAACCCCTATAGGCTTCCCTAGTAGTGGGGAAGGCAGCCCACTTGTGCCATGTGCATTGTGAGGTGCCCTGAAGGGGACACCAAGCAGAGGTGAGCAGCAGGAGGTGGGGGGACAAAGACAGGCACAGCCCCAACTCACATGAACGATTTTTGCATAACAACTAGGTCTTTGGAATCTAGCCTTGATGATGAGTGAGGAGTGGATGTATAAAATGTATTTTAAAACCCTCCGTTGTCAGGAACTGCTTTGCTGTGAAGTGACGTGGAGTCAGCGCTGACTCATAGCCACCCTGTATAGGGTTTCCAAGAAGCCGTTGGTGGGTACAGTGCTGATCCTACAGCACCAAGCACGACTCCAAGAAGTGCTTTATCTGCTGGGAAAAACTTTCAGAACACACCCTAAAATGCTCGTGTTTCTCCGGGTGGGGTGTGCAGATGATCAGAATTTTCTAGTTCTCTCTTCCTTTTTCTCCCTCGTTCCTTCCTTCCCCTCTGCTCCTTTTCTCTTCCTTCTCTCCTTTGCCTATTTCCCGTCCTCTCTCTCTGGCTTCTAATACCCTTTACCTTCTTGTTCATTACTTTTCTGATGTTTCAGAATGGAGGAAGCCATCAGAATAAAGCGATGTCTGTTTTGGTGAACTAGCGCCCTCTATGGTTAGAAGCTGGTACTCTCCTCAAACCTCAGGCTCTGGCTCTTCCGCCCAGCTGTCCTGCTCTTGTGCAAACTGACATGTCAAAGAGGGTCCTGGCAACCATGTGTTCACCCATGGGGGAGACCAAACACAGACGCTACTGTCCGCAAAGTGGGGGGATGGCCGGTGAGCCAAGATGCTAGAGCCCCGTCCCTCAGGGAAGGAACACACACAGGCACAGAACAGGGTCTGGAGGTGGTGCCACCGTAAGCCCTTGGGTAGATGTGAACTCTCGGCCCAGGGCACCCCTGGCTCTCCTCTCTCCTGCATCTTCACAGGAGCAGATGACCAGGTCTTGTTCCTGAGCCCCACCCACCTTTCAGTGAACAGTTGAGCATTTAAACCACTGCACCACGAGGCCTGCTTACAGGGGATGCTATCATTTGTCCAAGAAAAGAGCTGGGTAACCCAGGTTTGATGGTATATCCATAAACGAACATGGGAAGAGGAGAGATACGTAGACCAAAACTCAAAATAAAATCATACAACGACCAGGCTTCCTGGTTGGACAGAGATGGGTGGAACCCCGACATGATGGCCCAGAAGTGAACTCACCCCTGTACCTGGGAGGTACACCTCCTTAGAACCAGGGAGAAAGTTGAGAAGGCAGGAGGAGGCAGGAGTGGGGTGAGTGATGCTACATTGGGAAATGGCAGTCCACAGCCCCAAAGACCAGAAATTCAAGAGATCCTTTTGATACATTTTACCACAATTAAAGAAAAACAAAAGAAACTCAGCAGTCTTGTGAGGTGAGGGGTGGGGTGGGGGGGGGGGGGGGGGGGAGCGCAAGTAGCCAGAAACCCCCAAATGGAATCTAAACACAGGTATGGTATAGTAGGGGTTATAGCATACCATTTTGGGGGATATAATTCAATTAAAAGGTAATTCGCAAACCCTAATATGTTGTTTTTAAGTGCCATCGAGTCAGTCCCCATTCCCAGTGACCTTGTACAGTTTCCATGGAGCAGCTGGTGAATTTGAACTGCTAACTTTGCAGTTCAAACCGATCTTGCAGTCCAGTGCATTATCCTGCAGAGCCACACCAGGATTCTAAACCTACTATACCTGTGCAGGGTGGGTCTTAAAGAGACTGTGGTCCTTAGATACCTTTACAACCTGGAAATGAACCCCAGGGATCACCCTGCAACCAAACAATAGACAAGCCTAAGGAGTCAACTTTAACACCCAATGAGGAACGTGCTCCTCAGAACAACAAACTGTCTAAGGCCAACAGGGGCAGCGTTTGCCCCAAAACATAGCTCAGAAGGCAGGGAGGAGGATAAACAGAAACGGGGGCACCCACAGAAGAAGTCACATTGTGCAGACTGTCAACTGGAGTCAGGAGAAAATGAGTTTGAATCATCTAGTGAGAAATGAATGTGCTCTGTAAATTCCACTCAAACAAGTTAAAAACACAAACTAAAGTGAGCAGTGGAGATGGAGGCAGCAGGGTGGGGAATACAGGCATCGTGTCTCCTGAGATCTTCAAGGAACCAAGAAAGCAGAAGCTTCAAGGGCTTAAGGCCCTTCCTTCCCCAGACCCAACAGAGAGCCCTCCCCCAGAGCCAGCACCCTACATCTGGGCTGCAATTCTCCAAGCCATGAAAAGATGACTGTGTCTGTGAAAGACACTGGCTCGCGGGGGTTCTGTAGCAGCTCTGGAAGATTAAGGCGTCTACTGCAGTTGAGTTGGTTCTGACCTACAGCAACCCTGTACAGGGTTTCCGAGAAGCGGCTGGTGAGCTTGAACCACCACCTTGTAGTTCAAATTGACTTTGCAGCCCAGCGCATTAACCCACAGTGCCACACCAGGACTCCAAGACACCTACTTATTGTTATGTGCCGTGGAGTCGGTTCCGACTCATAGCGACCATGTACAGAGTTTCCGTGGCTGTAAATCTTTACGGGAGCAGAAAGCCTCATCTTTCTCCCCGCGGAACAGCTGGTAGTTTCGAACTGCTGACCTTACAGTTCGCAGCCCGAATTGTAACCACTACACACACTATCAGAGCTCCTTCTAGGAAGGGAAATTTCATGTGAAAAATTAAACAGAGAATGCTGACCAGAAGCTGAGCTCTGAGAAAGGGATACCTATCTGGCTCACACCCTCTGATGGGGCGGGGCCCAGGTGCCTTACCTGTGCTTCCCAGCAGCCTTTGGCAGCATAGTCCCTGAGTTTCCGGAAGCTGTGGAGACACCTCCCGGGATCAGACATCTGTTGACAGAGAAAGTCAATCTACACCCTGCCTTGTGGTGAGTTAGGGACTGACAGCTGATGTCCAAGGTTCTCAGCCCACAGCCCCAGAAGGTCTGACTCACTTGATCCCAAGGCCTTGTTCCCCAGTGGCAGTGGTCACTGCGGGGCATCTTGGCCCCTGCGTCCACTCACCTCTGTCCTCTGGTCACGCTCCCAGAGCAGGTATGCACTGGACAAGCAGCCCTGGTCAGCGGACTCGGTGAACAAGGTGAGAGCCTGCTGCTGCTTCTCTTCATCCTGGAACAAGCCCGAGCACAGTGCGTTCTTCCTTTGTCCTTCCTCCTGTTCATCTGCTAAGACCTTCTACCATCTCCAACCCCCAGGCATGGCTGTGCCAGCCGCGCGCGGGCTACTCTAAATTACCACACGATCGCGCTACCACTAGTGAACACGCAAATCAAGTCACTGAGGGCAGTGGTGGTGCCACATGGGAGCCTCAGGTTCGATTTCCGGCCAGTGTGCCTCATGTGTGAACTGGTGTGTGTGGAAGTGTGCTGCAGGATAACACCTTGGACCACAAGCACAGTGGTTCAAACCCACCAGCTGCTCATTGGAAACTCTATACAAGGTCTCTGAGAGCCGGAACCGACTGGATGGTACTTAACTACAATGTGCCTCATAAGTGCAACAAGAGGAGAGGATTAATGCAAATGGTCTGGTGCTAGACCCAGGATCGATTCCTGGCTAGTGCGCCTCGTGTGCAGCTTCTGCCTGTGTTACTGTGATGCGCCACAGGTTTCAGCTGAGCTTCCAGATAACTGAGACAGACCAGGAAGAAATGCCTGGCAAGCTACACTTTGGAAAATCAGCTCTATGGATATTGCCAGTGAAAACCCTAAGGGAGTGCTTTTGCTCTGACCCGTGGGCCGCCGCCATGGGTTTGATCCACGCAAAGTAGCTGGTCTTGGGGGATGGGCACTGAGCCAAGGGATGTGGCAGTGGCTCAGTCCACATGTGCTGAACAGCTCCACTCACCTCAAAGAGGCTTAGCACCCGGCCCAAACAGTGCAGGATGGATGCACGGTGAGCCTGCAACAAAGCAGGGAGAGACGGGTAAATTGTGTGGACCCCCAAATACATGTTGTGAAGCCAAGCCCTTGTATCTGTGGCTGGCGTCCTGCAAGGACTAAACTTTGGGGCCATTATCAGCATAGGGTGTGTGCGAAAGCAATCACTTTAGGCGGCATTGGTGAAGAGCAGAGGTTGGCGGGTCTCCCCCACTAGCGACAGTGCAGGAGACAGGCCTGACCATCTGCATTAGATTCCCACCGAACCCACTGCTGTCGAGCCGGCCCATCTCACAGCAGCCTTGGTGTCTGAGCTTACCAAGCTTATGGGCCCAGAGGGCCTCAGTTTTCTCCTATGGAGTGGCTGTTGGGTTTGAACTGCTGACTTGCAGTTAACATCCCATAGTGCCACCAGTGCTCTGCCCATAAAGACGACAATTCAGAAACCCTCTGGGGCAGTTTCACCCTGTTCTACAGGGTTGCTGTGAGTTGGGATTGACAACAACAGGGGCAGTGAAGGCAACCCAAATGGAAGGGAACGACTGGCCTGCGGATGCGTGAGGACCAGAGCTGAAAGAGACAAGGAGCTCTGGCACTGAACTTGCGAGATCTCCAAGACCTTGACCGCAGTCACGTAACCATCGTAATCACGAGCGCCACAGGACTGGAGTCTGTGACCCGCACAGCAGCACCTGAAGTCTTGTTAGGACGACCCGAATGGAACAGAGACGAAGCAAGCGCGTGGGGCTGGGAACGTGGTGCCGAAAGACCAGCTCCATGCAGGGCCGCCACAGACCTTTGTCGTGTGAAAACACACCATCTGCGAAGAGCAGCGAAGCCAGGTGTGCCTGCTCATTTCTGCTCACCAAAGCTGTCCCTGGGTTTCTATGAGCGCAGAGCCAGAGAACTAAATGGGAGGAGACGAGTGGCGTGCCCTGGCCCACTCCACAATGCAGACGAGCCGCCACGACTTCAGGTTTGAACTGAGCCCCGGCTGCTCAATCCTCCGCCCTGAGTCTTTCTGCTTCCACTATCCTCAGGTCCATGAGGGAGCTGGTACCTCAAGGCTTCCCAGGAACAAGCCTGCTCTTGGTGCCATGTGTTGCTCACCTTCTGCAGCTGGCACTCGGCGCGGAGGCTCCCATGAACCACAGCCTTGCAGCAGCTTCCAGAGGCTGACCAGGGTGGGCGGATGAAGAGCCAGATGAAGGGTGATGTGCCAACGTTCAGGCGCTCGGCGAGGCTAAAGAAGCGCGAGGCTTTCAGCCCGTTCACTTCTGCACGGGCCTCGTCGGACACAGACACTGTAAAGATGAACCAGGGAAAGTGGCCCCGTGCCCCAGGGGACGGGATCGCAATACCTTACCCCCCTTAACTCAGGGTTTTAGGTAAGAACTTCTTTCTTGTATACCACAAAACTTATCAGCCATTTTTTAGGTATCCAATTCAATGACAGTAATTTTGCTCACCAGCTTTGATCAAAGATCTTATATCAAAGATCTTTGATCAAAGATTCTGATCCAAAGGGGAGAATATGTGGAACTGAATATAGAACCCAGGCTTTCTGGAGCCATGGAAAGTGGTTAAACCCCTGAAATACTTGCCCTAAGATTACATTTAAACTTTAAACCAAGTCTTTTGAAGTCTTCCTTAAATCAAATGATAGTGTAGCTTAACTAGTAAAAGAATGCCTTGAGCACTGTGTGCTTTTAGGATCTGACTCATAGTGACCTGTACAGGGCTACGAAGAACAGCTGGTGGGTTTGAACTGACCTTGCAGTTAGCAGGCTAGTGTTTACCCTACAGTTCCACACCATGGAATCAATTGCTTCCAATGTCCACAAACAAAATGTGTACAGATTGTTGACTGGAAACCTAATGTTGTTGTTAAGTGCCGTCAAGTTGGTTCTGACTCATAGCCACCCGGTATAGTTTCCGAGGAGTGACTGGCGAGTGTGAACTGCGGATTTGTAGTGCTTATCCTAGGGTGCTAAACCAGGCTCTGGAAGCCTAACAATGGATGTGTGAATTTTCACCCAACTACAATGAACAAAGCGAAACAAGTATTTGTTGTTGTTAAGTGCTGTCGAGTCAGTTCCGACCCATACGACCCTGAACAGGGTTTCTGAGGCTGTAAATCTTTACGGGAGCAGAAAGCCTCATCTTTCTCCTGCAGAGCCGCTGGTAGTTTCGGACTGCTGACCTTGTGGTCCGCATCCCGATTCATAACCACTACGCTACCCAGAGCTTGTTAAAACATGTATATATGGGATCAAATTTACATTAGCAACTGGGAAGGTCAGCTGGGAAAGTGTGTTTCCGTCAGCGGAGGTGAGGGGGCGTGTCATCATTAGCTGGAGAAGGCAGCCAGTGTCACTGAACTGGACACGGAGGAGCTAATGGACTGAGGTCTGCTTTCACCACTGAGGCATGCAACCATCGGCACTATCCAGATGCGAATTCCCCATCACCCTTAAAAGTCACTGAGGCCCCTTCCACAGCTGCCCCACCCCACCTACCTGTCTGCTCTAAAGAGTTCAGGTTAAGTATTTCTGTGTGCCATTGACTCTATTCTGATGCATAGCAACCCCATATGACAAAGTAGACCCGCCCCATCCCCTCCCCGCAGCCTAGTAACCACTGTCTACTTTGTGAAGAAGGGTTCCTATTCCGTGCTATCAATCCCTGCCCGAGAGCACTTACAGCCTTCGTTGTAGAGGTAGGCTATGCCCAGCTTCACCGCCGCTTCAAAGTTTCCCTTTGCAGCAGCCCTAAAGCAGTAAGAACAGAAACATCACCATGTCTGAGTCCACAAAGGCCAGGAAGCGCCCCAGTACGTGGCATACTTGTTTACTGAATACATTTTGCTCCCCCTAGAAAACAATAATCAATTATTCATGGCATGGTGCAACATCGAGGGCCCCAGGAAACCTTACAATAAGTGCAAGAAGCCAGACCTAAAAGGACCACATTCCATTTATCTGAAGTGTCCAGAACAGGCAAAACCACAGACAGTAAATAGATCAGTGGCTGCCTAGGGCTTGGGAGACAAGGACCTTCCCCAGAGCCAAGGGACGGAGAAAGCCTTTCTGTAGAACGAGTGTTCTGAATCCGGACTGCTAGCCTCTACACTGGAACCAACTGAGTGTACCAGGGCTGGCCAGGGATTTGTCCTGTTGTACAAGACCCCTCAGACAAGCACATGACCACAACAGTGCTTGGGGGCAAACGGAGAGCAGCTGCTAACGGGCACGCGGTTTTCTTTTTGGAGTGATGACAATGTTCTCCAGTCACATCAGACGAGAAGGAAGGTCCATGTCTGTGACCACACTAGAAACTGCCTAACTGTGGGGGATGTGAATTCTCTCAGTACACAAACACGTGTGGACAAAGGGAAGGAGAATGGAATTTTTCCATGAACTTTTTGAATCCCCCTCGTTCATAATGCAATTTGGCCGCCTGGCACCGTGGGCTCGGTGTGGGCTTCCTACCGCTTGGGAGGAAGAAGAAGCGCTCTAAGGAGTCCTATCGGCTTCCTCCCAATGTTGTTCCTCACAGGGCACGTGGAACTAGGCAAGGAAGAGCCCCCCCCTGAGCAGTGCTTTCTCAGTGGACCCTGGGCTGGACCCTGGACCACATGGTGTGTGTGTAAATGATGTGACCCAGCGGTGGAGACCAGCCAGTGAATGAAATGAACTGGATTGAAATCCCATGGTTCTGAGGCTGAGGCAGAGGCAGATGGCGTTGTTTTTCTGCCTAGGGTTGACTCACTGTGTCTGAATCATGTGGGGTGGGTCCTAGGCCCGGTGGGACCCCATGGACGTACCAGGGTGACTAATGAAGTGTCAGGCCCATGTGGGCAGCACGGGTTGCTGATATAGCAGCTGCCCCTGGAGTCCTATGACTCGAGGTGTGAGTGATGACCACCACCCTCTTGAGGGTCACACAATGCCACGGCCGAATGGGAGGGTGGGAGAAGACAGATTTGCTCTTGGGGGCTGGGTACCTTTCAAACAGCTCCAGGTTCTTTGGAGAAGGCCAGAGCTCCTGGAAGCTGGCGGAGGCCCACACACTGGCGTGGTTGTCCACCAGGTACTTCAGGTGGGAGTGCACCTGTGGAGCAGCGGAAGCCACCTGTAAGACCCATTCTGAGAGGCTCCCGAAGACAAGATGTAGATGGTGCGTGTAACAAGCTCCCTCCCAGTCTGGGTATCCCACTGACGGCTGTTGTCAGCTCAGAAGAAAGCCCAGCTGTGAACCTCTGCAGCTCTGAAGTGCAGGCAGAGGTTTAGGGGAGGAGGAACAAGCATGTAGGAAGAGGGCAGAGCACACACCTGGTCTGTGCTCCTTCACCAGGTGGATCCCCCCCAGGAGCTCACAGAAAAGTATCCCAAACACGGCAGCTGCCTTGGGTATGACGTGGAGGCTTCTGCCCTGGTCAGAGGCAGAAGGACCCAGGTTGGGGGCACGAGTGAATGTCCCACTGTAGAAATATGGCAGCCACCAAGTGGGGTCTGCCAAGGATCCCGTTACCTCAATGAAGGTGACTCTGGGAGTTGGGGAAGTGGGTCCTTGTCAGTCTTTCCACTAACTGGCAGTCTAAGCTTGGCTAAGTCACTTAAGGAACCCAACAATTAAGTGCTTGGTTGCTAAATACAGGGTCGGTGGTTAGGATCTACCCAGTGGGTCTGCGGAGGAAGATCTGGTGATCTCCCACAAAGATGTCGACAGTGAAGAAAACCCCATGGGGTCGTTCTGCTCCGTCACATGCGGCTGCCATGAGTCAGAATGGACTGGTCAGCTTATGGAATGAGTGACTTCTGTATGGTGCTTCCAATGTCTACAAACTAAAGGTCAGGGTCCTGTTCAGTGCAGAATGTCACCTAGAATTTGTCCTCAAGGAGCTCTGGTAGCAGAGTGATTACAAAGCGGGCTGCGAACCACAAGGTCAGCAGTTCGAAACTACCAGCTGTTCCACGGGAGCAAGATGAGGCCTTCTGCTCCCGTAAAGATTTACAGCCTCGGAAACCCTGTGCAGGGGTTGCTATGAGTCGGAACCGACTCCACGGCACAAAGCCACCACCACAAGTATATTAAAAATAATACACATATATTTTAAATATGTATTTTTTTAATGATTTTATTTGTTGTTATTGTTAGGTGCCATCGAGTTGGTACCGACTCATAGCAACCCTATACACAACAGAATGAAACACTGCCTGATCCTGGGCCAGCCTCACTCTCGTTGCCATGCTTGAGCCCACTTTGCCAATCTAGCTCACTGGGGGTCTTCCTCTTTTTCTCTGACCCGCCACTTTACCAAACATGATATCCTTCTCCAGTGACTGGTCCCTCCTGACAATATGTCCCGAGTATGAGAGACGAAGTTTGGCCATCATGGTTCAAATTCACCATTTTCAGAGGGTACTGATACAGCTAAAACTGGCATTGTGGTAAACTAGATTCAAGGCTAACTGTGCCACATTTAAGCTTTGCGGCTGTCAGGGACCGAACTGTGGTCCCCTCCCCTCAAAAAAACCGTGCGTCCGCCTGGCTAGGACATGACTCCCAGTACTGTGTGGCTAGTCTCCGGTTAGTGATCTGACGTAAACCTGACGTAACGATCCTCACTCACTGCCTACCTTGCATAGGGATTCCGGGGCTGTAAATATTTACAGAAAGCCTCATTTTCCTCCCGAGGAGAGGCTGATGGGTTTGACTTGAGGTGAGCAGTCCAGTGCTTTACGCTGGTAACGCTCCCATGTTGTTATAAACCCTCCCTCTATGATGTTCATGAGGCAGGCCACATCCGACAGGGTCCTACTGTGTTTGGAGTCCTTCTCTGTGGAGTTGGACTCCTGCAGCTTAGGAGTTTCTGAGGCTGTCAGTCTTTACAGATACAGAAAGTCTCTTCTTTCTCCCAGGGAGCAGCTGGTAGATTCCAACTGCAAACCTTGCGGTTAGGAGCCCAACACACAACCCACTAGGTTACTAGGGTGCCTTTTGGAGACGCAGGAGATTAAACGAGGCAGCAGAGATCCAAGGGAAGAAGAGCTGGGAGCGCTGGGTGTCTGGTGAAGCTGGCTTCCCTGTGCTGAGGGCTTCCTAGACCCAGGGGAAAATTGATGCCAAGACAAATAGAAACCTCCAAGGGATGCTAAAGGGGACCAGGACTTTCCTCCAGAGTCCACAGAGAGAGAAAGCCTTCTCCAAGAGCAGGCACCCTGAAACTGGACTTGGAGTTCAAACTGTGAAATACTACATTCCTGGTTGTTACAGCCACCCACTGGTGGCGTTTCTGTTACAGTAACCCTAGACACCAAGACACCAGCACCTGTTAACCATCCCATCCTCTGTCCTCCTCCTTCAGAGTCCCATCTTGTTCTGACATTTCAGGACAGGAACCTCAGTAGTGTGAGGCACAATTGGGGGCCACTTACAGCTCGGACAGCGAGGATGTCCCCAACAGGAAGCCACTTCAGGATGTGAAAGAGCACATCTTCAGGGAGACTTAAGATGGTTAGGTTCCGGGGCCTCTTTCTTATTCTTCGCTTTGTTGGGTAACAGAAGCACTTCGCACACCTACAGTGGATCACTTAAGAAACAAACAAATGATGGATGGTAGAAGATGTGAAGAATAGCTTGATCTGAACACGATCGCAAAGTTATTGTCCCCTGACCACACCAAGGAAAAGGCACACAGTTTTTATTCCCTAGGAGAGATTAAGTAAAGGAATGATGGCAAATGAACTGGACAAGGAGTAATGATTTGCTCAAATCTTCAACAGACGTTCATGACAAATGGTACGCAGTATCTCACTTAGCTATGGGGAAGAGGAATGCTGTTGGGACAGCGGTTAGAGGACTCAACTGCTAACGGAGAGGTCAGCACTTTGAACCCACAGGAGAAAGATGGGGCACTTAGTAAAGCCTTGTCAACCTTCAAGATCAAAAAGGTAACATTTACGTGGGGACAAGGTTCAGAAGGGATGGGAAAGAGAGTGGAATGGAAACAGGATGCACAGGAGGAAGTGGAGTAACTGGTTACAGGAAGTGAATTGTAATCATTGAGATGAAACAAAATGTGTGATTTGTTGGATGTAAACTGATGATCCCCTCACTCAACTCACAATAAAATTAAAAAAAAAAAAAGCGTACAGACTTGAAAATCCAATGGGGGCCGTTCTACTGTGTCTACAGGGTTGCTGTGAGTTGGAATCCACTTGAAGGTCGTGAGGTTTGGATACTGACATTGGCTATGGAAAACTTTGTCATCCAGAGCTCAGATGACAAGTGGGAAGGGAAAAAAAACCAACAAAACAAAACAACAAAAGCCAACACTGGTGAGTTTTCCTTGCCTGTTGGGTTCTCCTTACTGGATGTATTTGCTTTTATTTTCTAAGACTTAAAAGTAACATGTCAGATCACCATGTGACCACTTAAAGAGTCAGAATCAGAGAAAGACAGAGACTCAGAAGCCACACTGGGCTGGTCCAGTCTAGTCCGGCCTCTGTGCTGCACCTCCCCCCCACACACACACCTGATACATACACATACACACATTGATTGGCTGTCAGGAGCTGTAATATTGAGATGAAGACAGGCTGCTGGGAGTTCCCAACACATATCCCAGAACTACACAGGAGCTGTCATTAAAGGTGAGATAGGCCCTCCTACCATTAGGCTGCCTGTATCAGCTCTGGTAGAGTAGTGGTTATGAATCGGGCTGTGAACCATAAGGTCAGCAGTTCGAAACTACCAGCTGTTCTGTGAGAGAAAGATGAGGCTTTCTGCTCCCGTAAAGATTCACAGCCTTGGAAACCTTATACAGGGTCACTATGAGTCAAAACCGACTCCTCGGCACATAACCAACCAACCATTAGTTTCCTAGATGGCACAACTCCTATTCCAGTAACTTTCCTCATTCTGAGCAGATGACTATACCTACAGTATTTCCACACAAATAACACCAGCATGCTATCTGCAACTATGTCTACCCTCATGTCAGTTTCCTATGCCTATGTTCATGCGCTTTACATGCAGAAAATACAGTACTCATTTCCTAGGAAGACAGAACCTCAAGATCATGCCGCCTCACCTACAAACTTCCTGTCTCCTCACATCCTTCCCACCTGGGCTGGATGGCGGTCCCCACTCTGCTCCATCTAGGCCAAATCCTTCCGCTGAACTGCGGAACCCCATCCTTTCCCCAGGAATGTTGCCCTAGCAATTGCCCTCCCACCCCCTTTGGCTTTGCTCTGCTATTCTACACTGTTGCCAAAGAAGATGCCTTAGAAATAAATAGCCGTTGGTGACTATCATAAAAGATGTCGCAGGGATGAAATAGAGCTGAGCCACAGGCGCTGCGCACCCTTTGGACTGCCCCGCGATTTCTGTAGCATTCTCTCGGATCTTGGAAGCGATTACAGTACAGCCACCAAGGGGGCTACGAGTGAATGCGAGTCTCTCGTTACATGTGTGCATAAATGAGCCCAGCAGTTGGGGGGTGGGGTCGCAACTCCCGGTGGCTGAACCTCGACACGTGCCGGGCTCAGGGGGAACACTGCCACCCGGGTCCTCCTGCCCACACCAGACCCCACGACCCCATCCACGCCGGACCCCGGCCGATATCACCCGTGGCCTAGCGTCCACAAGGGAAGCCCAGCGTTCCCATCGACCCAGTGCGCACGGCCCCGTCGTCCCGCCGGGCATTTAAACCGCGGCCGGGTGGGCGGGCGGGCTCGGGCCTGGCGTACCAGGCAGTCCCGTCAACACGACCCCACCGGCTCGGGGCCCGCACCTGCCCACCTGCCGGCACGGCCCGCACTCACCTCCGCCGCTGCCCATCGCCGCCGCGCTGTCCGAGCCCGCCCGAGAGCGCCGCAAGCAAAGGGAGCCACCACGCACGCGCAGACCCCGCCTGCCGCCCGCCCTATTTTTCAAATGCGCCTGGCCCTCGTATTGGTCGGAGCGCTCAGGGCGGGCACAGGCCCCGCCCACCGATTTCGGCCCCACCCGCTCAGGAAGCCCATGATTGGCCGCGCTAGGACGCGAATTCGAACGCCAGACGCTGATTAGCGAGGTCTGCGCGGCCTGCCTGCCCCCTCACCAAGGTTGGGGGGTCGCAGAGCCGCGTTCGACTCTGGGGATGGGGCTTGGGGTTCAGCGTAGCAGCTGCGTGCGGTCACGGGGAACGCGGTGGAGGCCGGTGGGGCTCCGACTAGGCTCTAGCTGACGTGGGCGTGTCGCCGTGTTCGGGGTCGGGGCTACCCGCCCTGCTCACGCCCCTTGCACTGCAGACGGATCACGGTGTGGTCGCCGAGCCGCTGTTCATTGCAGAGACTCTGGGGAGCAGGGCTCCGATTCTCGGGGTGCCGCCCTTAACTAGCTCTTCCCATGAAACGGAGCTTCACCTGAACTCCCTACCCTGCCCCGGTGCGCACCCCTCCACACACACACACACACTCCGACCCGAGGCTGTCCCCTTGTGGCCGGCCCCTCCAGGTCACTCGCGGCTTTGTTGGCTTGCACTCTGCTAACAGGACAGTTACAAGCTCAACTCCGGCCACGCACACAGTCCACCCAAGTCTGCCCTGCACACCGGGTCACACATATTGTCCATCTAGGCCTGGCCCGCACCCTCCAGTTCCAGTCCCAACTTCCTCCACAGGACCTGGGTTGGGTCAGGGAAAGCAGCAGAAGAGTGAGATGCTGGATATGGTGGGCAGTGGTCATCACCCTTCCCTCCTGCTTGATAGTTGGACTTGTGGTCAGGAATCATGCTTGAGCAAGCGAAGTAGAGAGAGGATCCCAGTTCCCAGGAGACAAGGGGACAAGGGCCTGGAAGTGGGGCGTTCTTCCCTGCTTGACTCAATGTGTGGAGGAAGCAGAGCTGGCAAGCTGGGACTTGTCCCCTGGCCCTCTTAAAAGTGGGGTGTCCAGACACCATTCCTTATCCTAGTGGGTTACACCTGGCACACCAGGTTATTGTGTTGTGCAGGTGGCTACTGTGTTTTTCTGTGGGGGGTTACTTTGTTACCCATTTATTCTCTTTTCAGGTGGGCACCTGGAAGGGACTCAAGAAACTAGACCCAGCATTGAATTCTCCCTGACCGGTGATACTCTCTTCATCCTGGAGCTTGGAGTGGGCCTCTGCTATGTCCAAACCCTCCATTGCCCCAAGTCTCTCTCACCAGTCAAGATGGGCACTGTCTTGTGCATGCCGAGACAGGGGCTGCTTTTTTGGGTAGCAGGTCACTCCTTCACCCCCACCCTGCACTGCCCACTTTCCCACTGAACAGTCTAAGCTGGGAGGAGCTCGGGGAAGGCCTGGGAATGCAGGGCTCCCTCTGCTGGCTCTTGATGAGGCTCTCCTTCTGCTAGAATGCACCCAAGTGTCCACCTCCCCCACCACAGCCTCCAGAACAGCCACAGCAGTAGGCTGTCACCAGGCTGACCAGCACAGAAGTCTTTATTATGATGCCGTGCCTGTGGGCAGGCACATTCAAGTGAGGGCGTGTCTCACATGTCTGACCCCTGGGTGTGGGGCACAGGGCTGGCGAAGCTCAGGAAGATGTCCTCCAGGGAGACCTGGCTGACCGCATAGTCATCCAGCGCAAACTCCTCCCGGGCTCGCTCCAGGGTCCCAAACACCTGCGTGAAGGAGGAGACCAGTGGGGACAGCTGGCACTGGGAGGGATGAACTGGGGTGACCAGCCCTCCCCCAGGGGCCAGCCCTTCTTTCAGCTGTCCACAGCACCTCCCAAGATGTCCTTCTACAGATTTCATTTTTCTGTCTCTCAGGGAAGGAGCCCAGGTAACCCAGAGGTTATGAGGTGTCCAAGGACCCCAGAGAGCAGATGACTCAGCAGGTTTGCCTGCCCAGGTGCCCAGGTGTGCACATACCTTTGCCCAGCTGAGGCCATGACTGGGCAGGTGGTAGTGGACCATCCCCTGGTGTTCATCCTCCAGGACGCTGCCTGCACAGGGAGAGACGCAGGCTGGTAACGGGGAGAGGGCTTAGCCCTGACCCCACCCTGAGGGCCGCTGGCCTACCGCACCTGGAAAGGTCAGGTTCACAAAGGCCTTGAACTCCTCCAGCGCCACCTTCTGCACATCGGCCCGGACCTTGGCCCGCAGGGAGTAGCCACTGCCAAACTTGCTCTTGAGGTGCTGCGGGCTGCCCAGGCACTTGAACTGGCCCTGCACCATGATGGCCAGCCGCGTGCACAGGGCTTCGCACTCCTCCATGCTGCGGAGAGGCGGGCAGGCCTGAGGCCGGGCCAGTGGATCCAGGGACGAGGTGCTGGTGCCCACCAGGCAGTCCCGGCCCCTCCCACTGACCCGAGAGGCCCGGCTCTACCTGTGGGAGGTGATGAGAATGGCTTTGCCGGACTCACGGGCCCGTGCCACCATGTCCCAGAGCAGGCGCCGGGCCACAGGGTCCATGCCGGTGGACGGCTCGTCCAGAAAGATGACCGCAGGGTCTCCAATCAGGGCGATGCCGGCACTCAGCTTCCGCTTGTTACCGCCACTGGGGGCAGAGGGGCCAGGGGATCAGGGTGAGGGCTCCTCAGTCTCCAGCAGTGAACCTACTTGGTCCAGGCTCACTTCTGGTTACAGGGACACCTTTTCCCTTTGTTCAGGAAGTGTCTGGGGGCTCTCAAAGACATGGTCCACTGCCCTTAAATAGCCAGGGCACAAACCATCGCCTGGACACTGTGATCAGGTCCCCGAGTTGCCTGTAAGGGATATGTGAATATTTGAGGGGCCTCTGGTAGTACAAACAACTAACCCTTGACTGTTAACCCCAAAGGTGGTGGTCCACCTAGATGTGCCTCAGAAAAGCTGCAATCTACTTCCAAAAGAGCAACCACGTCACAGCAGAACCAGAGGAGATACAAAGGGTAACAATGCTATGAAGAACTTTTTGGTGCACAATGGGTTAAGTGTGGGACTACCAACTGAAATGTCAGCAATTCGAATCCAGCAACTTCTCCATGGGAGCTGTTCCACAGGATAAAGATGACAGTCTGCTTCCATAATGGATTACAGCCTGGGAAATCTGATGGAGCAGTCCTACTCTAGCCTATAGACTTGAGGACAAAATTCGGAAGGGATGGGAAGGAGGAGGAATGGAAAGGGAAAAACCACAGGGAAGACGTGGGATAAGGAATGGTCTATGAGTGGGAATCAACTTGCTGTCAATGGATTTATGAAGAACTGTGCTCCAAAAAATTTGAAAGCCTAGAAGAAAGAATACATTTCTAGAAACACAGTATTTACCCAAACTTATACAATCTAAGGTAGAAAATTTGAATGGACCTATCACAAAAGAAAAAAATTGAACAGGTCATAAAAACAAAACCAAGAAACCTCCTAACAAAAAAGTCCTGGCCTAGACAGTTTCACTAGAGAATTCTACCAAACATTCTGAGATAAGCTGACACCAATTCTCCTCAATGATTCCAGATCATAGAAGAGAATGCAATACTCCCAAACTCATTTTATGAAGCAAGCGTAACACTGGTACCAAAGTCATGCAAAGCCACCACTAAAAATGAAAGTCATAGAGTGAGATCGTTCATAAACATAGGCGCAAAATTTCTCAACGACATCCTAGCCAATAGAATTCAACATCATATAAAAAATAATGTATCATGACCAAGCAGGATTCCTATCACGTATGCAAGGATGATTCAACATCAGAAAAACAATCAATGTAATCCACTACATAAATAAAACCAAGGAAAAGAACTCCCCCTCAAAAAAAACCAAAAAACAAATAAAAAACATCAGTCACTGAAAATCCTTGTGGCGTCTCAAATTATAAAAACAACCAGGCTTGCTGGTCAGAAGGAGGCTGGTAGAACCCTAAGACTGTGACCTTTAGCCACCCTTCAGCTGTGGAACTGAACTCACCCTGTGGCTTAATTTTCAGCCAAACAATCAATTGGTGTATGGGGGACAACAATGCTAGTGAGGAACACACCAGAAAATGGTCAACCACTCAAGATCCAAAGGGCAGCGTTGACTTGAGGACAAAATTCAGAAGAGACGGGAAGGAGGAGAAATGGAAATGGAAAACCTCAAGGAAGATGTGGGATAAATGATGTTATATTGAGGGGGCTGCAATCAGTGAGATGAAATGTGCTGAATATAAAACCGATCATCTGCTCTGTAAACCTTTAGTCAAGTCACAATAAAAAGTTAAAAAAAAGAAAAAAAGAATAAAGAAAAATAAACCCCATGGAGTTCAGTTCTACTCTGACACACATGGGGTGTCTCCACGAGTTGGAACCAACTTTAGGGCGCCTGTTACTGGGGTAGGAGCATCTCCATCTGAGGGGAAGGGAAGAGGACCACTTTGTTGTTGTTGTGTGCCATCAAGCGTTTTCAAGGAAGGCTTGAACTACTGACCTTGCAGTTAGCAGTCCAGTGCTAACCATTTTATTGCTGTTGTTAAGTGTCATTGAGTTAGTTCCAACTCATAGTGACCCTGGATAGTGTTTCCAAGGTCCACTGACTTTGTGGTTAGTAGACCAGTGCTTACCTTACAGCACCACATGAGGACCATGTTAGTTACTTAAAAACCCACACGCTATGGAGTCTTTACTGTGTGCTGCAAAATTGGTTTCAACCACAAGGTTGGCGGTTCAAGTTCACCAGTTGCTCCTTGGAAACCCTATACAGGGTTGCTATGAGTCAGAACCGGCTCGACTGTACTTAACAAATCAGTCTTCTGAAGTCTAAGGTGGAAGATGACAACGTCCTTGAAACCAAAGCCACAGAGAGGAATGTGGCCACAAGGATGGACTGCTGGGAAATCTCAGCTGAGCCTGAAGCCTGGGCCTCCTAGTACTTCCCCATGCTACTGTGCCACAGACCTCCAGGGGGCGCTGCACACAACAGCGGTGCTCATGAGGTTTTTAGCACAAAGGAGCCAAGGTGGCACTGTGGAATAGGAATTGGATGGCTAATTGCAAAGTTGACAGTTCACACCCACGAATCGCTCTGCAGGAGACCAATGAGGTTGTTTGCTCCCATAAGGATTTAGTCTTGGAAACCCTACACAGAGTGGCTATGAGTTGGAATTGACTCGTCGGCAGTGGTTTGGTTTGGTTTTTCCTTAGCAGGGGCACCTTACTGGCACAGTAGTTAAAAGCACTCAACTGTGAAGTCAGAGGTCTGCAGTCTGAAGCTACCAGGTTGCTCCACAGGAGAAAGATGCAGCTGTTGGGAACCCTTTGGTGTGGCTCTACTCTGTCCCATCACACCGCTGTGACTCAGAGGCGACTAGTGGCGGTGGGTTTGACTTCCCTTGCAGAATACCAGTAACTCATATGCCCCAGAAAGAGGATTGGGGAACATGGGCCTAGAAGGCAAATCCTCCCCAAATAGGACATCCTCATGGGGGGTAGGAAGGAAGGCCCATGCACACCTGGTCCAGACACTAACACCTGTGCTCAGACTGCGTCTGCAGCCCAGGGCTAAGAGGAAGCTGTTGGGGGCGGGGTGGGGGGGTTGCAGCCCAGGGGAGAGACCTGCCCGGTATCCTGTGGCTGGTGGGGAGGCTGAGGGCAGCCTAGGCCTCACCTGTAGGTACACACCAGCTTGTCAGCAAACGTGTGCAAGAATAAGTCATCCAGCATTTGGCTCACGCAGGCTCCAATGTGGCGCTCAGGGATGCCTCGGAGCCGGGCATACAGGACCAGCGTCTCCCGCGCAGTCATGTGGTCCAGCAGGGCGTCGAACTGAGGGCAGTAGCCGATGCGCTGCTGTACCTGAGAGGCACCCAGAGGGGACCGGTCAGAGAGAGGAACGCTGATCTCGGGAACCAGGGTCATCGGGCTGGTTCACTCTCTGCCTTTGCCCTGCGCCTTGTGACAGATGACAGACGTGAGTGGCTGTACTCCATGGCAGGAGAGGTGGCAGGTGGAGGTGGCCCTGGAGTGGCACGCAGCCCTTCTGTGGGCCGAGAAATCAGTTCTGGAACTGCTCTGCGTTCCTCCTCCTGCCTGCCTGGTGTGAAATCTCTGCTCCCATCCATAGAAGACACTCACTTTGTTTTTTACCTTTAAAACATACTTTGGAGACATGTTAACAACACCTGCATGGATTTTCCTCATAAAATGTTCAAATAAGCTAGTCTCTCTTTTGGCCACAGGTGGAACCTGGCTGCTGTGTGCTTGCTGACCTTAGTTGAACGCAGTCCCCACGTGGACGGGTGCTCTGCAAGGGGACCACTTGTTTGTTGAACCCAGCAGGCCCTGGCACTCTCCCTGTGCCAGCAGGTGCAGACCCAGCCCACTGGGCTTCACCACTACAGCCGCATCCAGGGCCAGATTCTAGTTCATGTTTAGAAAATACAGACATGTTAATTTCCAAGTTTCTAGCGCCATAATATTGCACCCTCATGTGGACGGGAGCACTGCACAGTGAATAAGGAAGCCTGAGGGAGAATGGGCGTCTTTGAATTATGGTGTTGAAGAAAATTGAATAGACCATGGACTGCTGGAAGAACCAATCTGTCTGAAGGAAGTGCAGCTCGAATCTTCCTGAGAATCAAGGATGGTGAGGCAGTCCCAGGTGCTTTGGACTTGTGATCAGCAGGGACCAATACCTGGAAAATGACATCATGCTGGTAGAGTGAGGGTCAGTGGGAAAGAGGAAGCCCCCCCCAGTGAGATGGACCTCCACAGTGGCTATGATAGGCTCTAACATGGAAACCAGGTAGTGTTGCAATCTGCTGTGCACGGGGCCTCTATGAGTTGGAGCCAACTTGATGTCATCTTAACAGTCACACTTCACCACCACCAACGGTAACATCGTGGCAAAAGATCCTGGTTTCTGCCCTTAGAGCAAATGATGAAAAACAGAGGAATACGATTTTTAATCACAGAACCAGTGTTTTACCTCTCGTTCCATTTCCCCATCCAATCAGATGTACAGCCGGGGATCAGCCACCCAGGAGAAGCAGGGTGGGAGAGGGAGCACGCCCTAAACAAAACCGACCATGTCTTTTATAACCTTATCTTGGAAGCTCCGTACCAGCTCTTCAGGCACATTTTGTGGGCCATACAGACCATCCCTGGGTCATGTGGGTAGGGGGCTTTGGGGTCATTTTGGGGTCTGGATACTGCTGTCTATTTTTATAGTTTTTAGCCTTGTAACCCTTCATACCTTCCCTTCTGAATTATTTTGCGGCGTTGTCTTTTAGCCACACATCTATCCCTGGCTGCTTTTCACTGTGTACCAAGCGTGGAGACCTTGGGTATTCCCATTGTCTCCCACAGACGACTGGTACTCAGTTCTGCCAGGCGCCTTAGAGCACTTGTTACTGTTGTGAAGGGCTCTCAAGTCAGTTCCGACTCATAGCAACCCGGGCTGGTGGGTTTGAACTGCTGACTTTGCGGTCAGTAGTCCAGTGCTTACCCTACAGCGCCACACCGGGACTCCTCTTGGAGCACTAACAGTTTCCAAGACCAAACCCACTGCTGACGAGTTGATTCCAACTCAGCAATCGGACAGAGTAGAACTGCCCCATAGGGTTTCTAGGGGTCATCTTTATGGAAGGAACCCTGGTGGTGCAGTGGTTAAGCACTCAGCTGCTCACCACATGGATGGTGGTTGGAAGGCACAGAGGCAGTGTGCGTCTGTAAATTTCATGCCTTTGGAAGCCCCGAGGCTTCCACTGTGTCCTCAAGGCTGCTTATTGGTAACCGCTTTGCTTTGGGTTTGGAATCTTCATGGGAGTGGATCACTAGGCCTTTCCCCATGGAGCCGGATTTCGTTGGTGGCTTGAACATCAACCTTTTGATTAGCAACTGACTGTTTAATCTTTGTGCCCTCGGGGGGCGGGCCTTGGCTGGAGGGCAGGACACTTTGACTTAGGAGACAGTGGTAGACGAGGTCTTGGGGTTTGCTGTAGCTGACTTCTGCGGAGTGAGGCTTCCAGTTCTCTGAGACACTAGGATGGGGGCCTCAAAATGTGGCACTGATTTTTTTCTTCAAGTTAAGATTTTGTATCAGCTGGACTGGGCCAGGATTCTCAGAGTTTGGTAGGTGGGTCCCTCATGGTGTGATTTGATGTGATAAATCAGTCAGAGGACTAAGGGTGGGACATTGCTGTTGTTAAGTGCCATTTATAGCAGCCCTTTAATAGTGTTTTTGAGGAGTGGCTGGTGGGTTTAAACTGCTGACCTCACGGTTCAAACTGACCTTTCAGTCCAATGCTTATACTACAGCGCCACACCAAGATTCCAAGGGTGGGATGTTGTGGTTGTAGTTAAGTGCCGTCGAGTCAGTTCCGACCCATAGCAACCCTGTAGAGGGTTTCCAAGGAGCGACTGGTGAGCTTGAACCACCAACCTTGCAGTTCAAAACGACTTTGCAGTCTGCCGCATTAGCCCACAGCGCCACACCAGGACTCCTCACCACCACCCTGATCTGATTAATGGGAGATTCCCAAGGGTGTGGCATGTAACACCTTTGATTTTACATGCCATAAAAGGAAAGTGACTTGGGCAGAGAAAGGAGGACACATTACAACCAAAAGGAGTTTTGGTAGCATAGTGGTTACGAGTTAGACTGCTAACCTCAAGGTCAGAAGTTTGAAACTACCAGCTGATTGCAGGAGAAAGACAAGGCTTTCTGTTCCCATAAAGATTTACAGCCTTGGAAACCCTACACAGGGTCGCTATGAGTCAGAAATGGAGAGAAACAGCACGAAACATCCATGGAAAATCGGAACATGGAATGTACGAAGTATGAATCTGGGGAAATTGGAAACTGTCAAAAATGAAATAGAACACATAAACTTCAATATTTTAGGCATTAGTGAGCTGAAATGGACTGGTATTGGCCATTTTGAATCTGATGACCACATGGGTTACTATGCCGGGAATGACAAACTGAAGAGGAATGGTGTTGCATTCATTGTCAAAAAGAACATATCCAGATCAGTCATGAGGTACAATGCAGTCTGTGATAGGATAATATCCATGCGCCTACAGGGAAGCCCAGTTACCACCACTATTATTCAAATTTATGCATCAACCACTAAAGCGTAAGGATGAAATAGAAGAATTCTACCAACTTCTTCAATCTGAAATCAATCAAACATGCAATCAAGATGTATTGATCATTACTGGTGATTGGAATGCAAAGGTTAGGAACAAAGAGGAAGGACCAGTATTTGGAAAATGTGGCCTTGGTGATAGAAATGATGCTGGAGAACGCATGATAGAATTCTGCAA